CATATGACATATGTATTCGTATTTACATATGCGCGTCATTCGATGAGTAGTGCATTACGCATATGTATTTGTAAGTATTCCGTGAATGTCAGTTATCAATTATCTAGTTCAGTTAGATGCTGAATGGCAATATTTGGGTCACTTCATGTCATGGCGTATCAACTTTTTTTAGGCATAATGTTCATGGCATAATGTGATGTTATTAATGCGCATAAGTACTTAAATCGTGGTTCGTTTCTAACAACTGTCACGAGAAGCGAAGCTAAACTGTCAGTCTGTCAGAAGGAGAGAGATACTTGCGGCAAACATGCGAATCACCAAAACTTGTCATGCAGTATTTCCGGAAAATATTGAGACATTGGATCCAAAAAATGTTCACATGTATGGCCAAACAACATATTTTGAATTATTTTGACAAAGTTCTTCTTCTCAACGTGTCAGAAACTGCGACGAATTATACACTTTAGAATGAAATCAATTATAGCTGACCACATAATAAAATCTAGGATAATGTTTCATTCAGCAGTTATTTATCAGAAACAAAAGACGTTCAGTGGTCGTACTTGAAAAATAATGCCCAACCAAGGCGTTTCTCGCCTGTCGTCTGCATTGTAGTAATAATAAAATATTTTGCACTTCATGTCACGTTTCCGCCACTTGGCGTATAAATGCGAGCGAATAATGGACTTGTTGGCGAAATTTGGTGGGAATGATTTACTGTGCTCATCTAATTATAAATCCACCTCACGAGCAGACGAGTCTTGACTAAAACATTGTGACTTGTTAGAGAAGAAATATTGTCTCGAGTATCACTCCGTGATCTAAAAACTTGACGGCCTTCCTTTCGATGGCAAAATAAGTGGAAACTTTACGTCTTTTCAGACGTGAAATAATGATGCATTAACATTTTAATCCAATAAGAACGACATAAAAGAAATTCTACCCCATTAATTTGCGAGATTAAAATAACGACAGATCATAAAACCTCGTAACACGTATTAATTAAGGAGACAGCATTTGTAAATCAATCAATAATCTTTCAACCCCAATCCAATCCGTGCTACGGCTCGCTGCCAAAAAATCGTAGCATTTTTACAATGACATTTTAAACAATGTACAATTCGGACATGTCGTTCACAACTGTTGTGTTGACACTTCCTACATAGTTCGAACCCCATTCAACGTGGAGTAAACAATGGCTAATTTACAGTCTGAATGTTAAACAGCATAAAGATTTATGTGCCATGTACTAAAAAGTCAACTCTTCATCTCTTCGGATGGCTAGGCTCTGCGTGCGGAAAATTCTTACGTACACCACGTTGAGAGAGTTATTACAGATTACGTATGCATGCGACCAATCAATCGAGGAAGCTTATAGCCCCACAACTCACCGTTTTTGGCACGATGGACCGAAACTCCCTGTTCAGGGGTGTCAATCATTCAATCGTGGACAATAGTGTCCACTTGACATTTTAAGAACAAATGCTATCCATATTTATACCGTGTAGTATTCCGAATTGTCACCCAACTTTTATGCACAAAAGAAACACAACTGTAATGACAATAACATTAAATTGTTCCCACTTGTCAGCGAGGATGTGGCTTGCGACCCGGATTTTGGACAGTACACGACCGAATGCAAATTAATTATGCGGTTACATGACCACAATTCGTTCAGCATGGTTCAACATTCTTTTCTCTCTCTGCCAAAGATTTCTAATTTGTAAATACGTATTGCAATGTCTTTCGTTCAAAAGCTGAATGAATTAAGTCTTAATTATAGTTTGCAAAGAGACCAATTACACAAATACTATAATATTATTGAATTTCAATTTTAGAAATCAAACGGCGTGAAATTGCTAATTATGGGTCGAAAAAAATTACAACCAAGAAGAGTCATGGGTGCCCAATTATAAAAACGTAGCTCGTAGTAAGTATGCACACAAAATTGCATTGTACATATTTCTCGTGTACATATCTTCTCACAGGCTTCACTCTATATGAGATGAGAGAACCCACAATTGAAAGAGCGAATGACACCAACACCTCTTTTTTTTGGCGTGAAACGAATCATTACAAGTCATTGTCTGTTGGACGATGTGGGTGTCAACAACAGGGTGGCTGTTGTCTGTCTGGCTAGGACGACGAAATTATGAACAAAAGCATACACAATTTAATAATAATAATAATAAGCAATGACCTCCATCATCATCGTCATCATCATGTGCTACCTTAAGAGAAACACGACTAATCGAAATTGAGAGAGAGAGAGAGAGAGAATCATTGCAAAAATGTGAATTAATATCTGACCTGCAAAAGAAAGACAGCAATTGCCCAAATACAAAGGTGTGTGAAATTATTTGATGACATGATGCGAACCTATCTTCGAGGGATTTGTGGTTCATTTGTGTCCAAATGTTTAGACGTAGTACAACCTTACGTATGTATGACACTAAATATCTCATAAGTGCTGTGATTATGGTCGTTTGAGGCGGAACGACACAGTCATGTCAAAAGTGGATGTGAAGTTAATAAAGTGTTGTTGTATTTGATGTGCATATGACAACTTATGTATGCATGTGAAAAGTTTATGGTCACCGAGTATTTAAATATTTACGAACTCGTGTGTACAGCTTTGACAGCTAAATACCTAAGAAGAGTGATGCAACTGATGAGATTATAATAAATTTGAAGGAAGATATCACCACGCAAAGCCAATAAAGCTGTAAAGATCGGAAATTGAAATGATGTTTTGGCTGGAGTTTGCACAACTACAAACTTGCGAGTAAATATGTACATTTGTAATCTGAATCATCCCATGAGGAACGACAAATTTGTATTCTGTATTTGTTGAATAAATTAGGAGATGATTCCAAAAATGGGCTAATTGAGCAGCTTTTATTTCTTTATGAACCTTCAATCCTTTGAAATGTCAGGGTAATTGATACGATGAGGAAATTAAAGTAATTCCAACGTATGAGATATTTACGCATCAGGTTTCATTTCGTGCAAGTTTAAAGCCGTTTTTTTTACTTTGGCAAATATACATTGTACGACGCTGACATTATTTCATTTTATGGGCACGACACATAACTAAATATGTACTCCAGCGCAATAACATGTCAGCAAAAGGATTGTCACATGATCTACAAGACATATTACAAATGTGCGGAGGCCTTTGTTACTCAAATTTTAATGTATTTAATAGAAAGGTCTTGAACAACAAATTAGTGGTAAGATGATCAAGAGGAAAAGAACGATAAAACTGACAACCTTAAAATGTATGCTATTTCCTAATATGTCGTGAAAAATTACCTGTCAGAATTTCTATACATCATCGAACAAGTATTCCATTAATTGCGAATTATGAGTTTAATTATCACACAATCATAATTGAATTTCTCTAGATTATTTGATTCTTAAAGTACCTGTATGACCGGCCTGTAACAAGTGCACCATAATCGTTGATTGGATTGAGTAACTAATTAATAAAGCGAGTAATAAAATAAACCACATTTTGCTTGGCTTGTCCTCATTGTTCGCCGCCTAAACGAATGTCGTGACTATTTATTTTAGAAAAAATTACAATTTATTTGGTTCGCTGGATAATTTATGTCGTGGGAATGAATGCAATATCTTGGCAATATTGTGCCAATAGATACGTATTTAGTCTTGGATTTTGAAATTCCACTTAATCTCCTAATCTCTAAACATTGATGTTAACATGAAATCACTGGTCGCAGTTCTACATAGATAAACAATTTGTTATCTGCAATGCACAATGGCTCACTTGGCTACACCATCTCAGCCGAATAAAGATGACTATGACTAATGGAGCGAGTACGTACGTATACCTCCATCAGAGAGAAGACAGGTTGGGAATTTGAGATTGTGAAACATTTGAAAAGAAACAGACAAAAATTTCGTGTGGTCGCAAGAAAGGAAGAAAATGAAACATAGATAAAAGCAACTCGTTGAAACACAAACAATAAATTAATGCATAATAAAAGGTGGGGTGCAGGATTGCACTTTAATTATTATCTTATCCAACATTGTAAAGAAGGGAGGCAGGCAAACTCATTCATCTCATTTGGATGGGTTGGTGCGAAACTTCACTCGTGCAATTCTTTTTTTTTTGCTGACCATCCCAAATGACAAACCCCTAAATTACTTTTAATTGGGATAGAAAACCAATACTATAAATATATGTGATACACCGCTACAACCACGAACTGACGGACGGCTGATCGCAATTTGTAAGGGTATCAATCCCAACTAAATAGCCGACCGACAAGAGTATACAAATTCTTCTTGTTGGATTAGGTACGAGAGATGACGATACAATTCGTATGTCCGCTTTTGTACTATGAATTGCAGAAAGGGAAACAGATTTCGAGGAGAAATATTTATGAGGCTAATAATAATACTAATAATAATGATAATCTTGTTTTGTCTCAGCGATAGATTTCATCTTGGTATTTCGACCAAATTGCGTTACATGAATTATTATGGTTGTAATATTATTGACATCGCGTGAGCTACTTAATAAATGGAATGTGCATATTAGGCTGTGGCTTCTCACGTCAACACTCCCCTCCTGCCTTTTGTATTGCATTCCATAGCTTTGCCATTTAACCATTTACTGATATTGTATTACATACATACCGAATAATTCGGTCTTCCGATGATAAGTTTCCCAGCGAGATTTATTTTATACGACCCAAACCACAACTGAATCGGCTCGGGTTGTAACTTATGTTTTAGCTGGGTTGACTAAAACTTGGTCAGCTCCATTATAGGGAATTGTCGCATTTTGGTTCAGAATATTTAGAAAGGGTACTTTTTCCAAAAACCGGGTATATCCTAATTCCTATTAGGGTTACGTCATAGGAGGAAAAGGACTTACATACTACATATTGCTTGCTCATTTAGCTATAGCACCAGCACCTACCTTATATGACCACAAAATGACCATTTTCTAGGTACACTTACTAAAAATATTTCCTAAAACCAAGAATGTATCTTCAGTAAGCTCATCCTCAAAGTATTCAGAGGCATCTACTTCACTGCATTCTTGTTGGTAATACCCTTATACTTCATACTGATAACCTTGAAAATTATCTAGCCAAGACGTCGAACTAAATTAAATTTAGAATTTGCACTATCCAAATTCATCAGCATTACAATGGGATATCCAGCATCAGGAGAAAATGAGGTGAGTCTTCATTAATTTTAGGATTTTTGTGGTGTTTGATAGTTGTTTTATAATATCAATAATAATCTCAACTTTTTTGAAATTTTTCTTACCGAGGAAATTTCTAAAATGCTCAAAAAATTTGCAAAAATTGAAATTGACGTCGGATACGATAAAATAACTAAATATGTGGGATTAAAAAGATCCGAAAAAAATCACGGCTGGGTCGATTTCACCATAACCCTGCGTGCCTTTAATTTTTGAATATTAGTATTAACTAGTACCATCTTACTCATTGTGTTCCAGATGCATACACAGTTTTGCCTAAAGCTGAGATTCATTAGTTTAAATTATATTTCGTAATAAGGCCAGCAGAATGTCCACACGCTACATGTCGCTCTGCTCTCCCATCCCAATTTTAGTGCGGCCAAGGATCATCTCAATTATTTTTTTGAGAAGCAAAGATCTTGGATCAGGTTCATCACGTGGAAAAAAAAATTAGTTTCATTTGTCAAATTCTCAAACTTGTAAATCACAATAATTAAAACGCAGAGAAATATTTTGGCTCGACTTGATCTCACATAGCGTTGACTTTTATGGCGAGTGAGCAGGTACATATTATGTCGCATCTGACTTGAATGCGGGTTAAATTGGATTGGATTAACTAAAATGCAGTGTTTGGACGTAGTGATTGAAATGAGATTATTTATCCATTATTTGCCATGTGTGTAACGAGGGGTTAGGAAATGTTGCGTTGTAACAAGTTGATAAATCACCATTTTTGGCGACCACATCTCTTCCATCTCGTTGAGTCTTTCCGACGTTGACGAAGTTTATACATGTACTTACATACCTACCTACAAAGTATGTACACTTGTTTCGTATGCCATAGGCGATGGACAATTGGAATTGCGTTAATTCCTTTCCTTTTGATCAGTCTGTCTCCTCAATGAAGGAATTGAGCAACATTTTTGTTATCTCTAGTCAGACAAAATTATGGCACCTCTAACAATCCAATGACTAATTTTGCTAAAAACTTTGTCAGCATGGATTTTGGTCTTTCGTTGACAAATATGTTTATTTGTACTGTTTGAACTCAATGATTCGAATTGCTTTGTGTGCAAATGACATATGTTGTTACAACATTTATTTCGCATCACTTGGGAATGAAGTGGCATGCATTTAAAGAACTTGAAGTATATTTTTGCACAAGCTACCAACACATGTACGCGGAGTGGTTTGGTTAGTCCCACTAATTCCGTAAAGCTTTGCAAACTCTGCTTTTCTAATAACATTCACGCTGCTTCAGAAAGTAAGAATGACATCGAATCAGCATAATGACGACGGACTGGGTCGCTCGTCTTCAACATCGACTGAATTGTTTCAAGCTTCTGCTCGTGGTTAGGTTACCTGGTCGTCTCCCGTGTGAAAGTGTGTCAGAGAGAGTTTGCTTTTATCTGCAAACAAAATATATTTACAAGCTGGAGAGCAGGTGTCCATATTCCGTCAGAGATTATTTGGCCTTTTTGGGCAACTCGTTTCATTGCAACAGTTCAAAATTCTCCATCCAGAGCTATCCTTAATTCCCATCGCTTGAACAAACTAATACGTGTACGAGCTCGGCTCGATCACACACCGACCGACTAAAAACTAAACTCGAGAAGATGTTTCACTGTAGGAACACAATTGCATTTCAAATTACGAGTGGCAAGACTTAATTTTTATGCTTTGAACATCCTTTTAAAGTTTGGTGAAGGTGGAATCTCATGACAATAATCTAACCACATTGTGCATCATCGTTACTTTTGTTATTTCAGCTCGTAATACTTTTACTTTATTCTGTCAATAATTTCTGCTCAATTCAACTTTGGTCTTCAACTACGTATGTACATATTCATGTGCTCTTCTGAATTTAAAAATCACAATATTTTTGCTATTCAAATTATGAAGTGGGGACGGGAAAATAGATACGAAACTATAAATACGGAATGTACGGTACGGCACAATCACATTATGCCGAGGCAATAACCCAACTTTCTCAAATCGCATAAATTTTGGTTTCAACAACGGTTTGAACTTGTGCATAAGCATGTTTATTCATACACATACGTACTTCAGCCACTCTCAAGAGCGTTACTAAACCGACTTGATGAATGGGCATTAATTTGAATTCAAAAGTAAATAGTGTATGCTGCTCAGCATATATATTTAAATTGCTTCATCACATCACACAACTTACGCACACGGCTAGAAAAGTTTTACAAAAGGCTGCGTTGAATAATGACAAATGAACGTCGCAAGTATACAAATTCATTCATGGTTTGCAATTTAAAAGGATATTTCTTTTTCTACAGTGACTTAATGTAATTTAAAACCTGTTTGACATTTGTCAGCCCCAACTTGACACATCTATTCATTCGCAGTGAAATATCATTGGGGGGACTGTTTAATTTCGTTCGTGGGGCAATTACTTTTTTTTCATGGGAAATACATATATGAAATTATTTCAGTCTCAAGTCATGAATATGGGTTATAATTGCTACCAACCAATACTTTAAAATTAGAAGTATCGCCTCACCGCATGGGAGATACGTATGTTATGGGCTGTACATCACGGATTTGTGATACACACAACTTTTTCTTATTTTATTTAGAAGGCAATAATAGGTGAATAAATGAGGTAAAGTTTAAAAAAACTACTACCGATCACTTTTATAGGCCAAGAACCGAAATTTTTGACTATCATGTGACTATCACTCATCTTTTTCGTCGTTCGGTAGGCTATATCTTCAAAACCGAACCAAATCTCCAGAAATGTCTAAGAGAAAAAATGAAGCTATTTACTTGCATTCTATAATAATAAATAATAAATGAAATGAAAAATTTGATCCTGACGCCAAACTAAATATTCCCGAAAAAATGTCCAACTTGTTTATTTTTTGTCGTACCTTACAATTGATTTCTCCTCCAGCAGTATCATTTAATACTCAGAACTACAAGGTTATATTTAATTTTGCTAAAACAGAACTGTCCCCTATTCCATCTCAAGATGCAGGCAGCCATATCGGATGCACGGAAAAGCCACGGTAAGCACACACAAAATTGTGTTTTCCACAACATATTCTAAGCATGCAATAAACCGAAACATGTCCGTATATGATTAAGAGATCTTTTGAACTTCAAATTCACCTTTGTGATTAATTTTTCAGGATCAACTGTGAACTTATTGATTTGGGCTATAGACTCAGCGACGACTGATATTCGCCGGATTGAAGCAAATCTAATTAAAGGTAATCTTGCGTTATGAATAATGAATTGAATAATTAAATATTTAACTTCTGAAGCAAGTTAACACATTATTTTGTTGTATTTCATAGAGGACCCTGCAGTAACAGCCGAAGCCACCCAAGGTAACACAAACGAACCAGATATTCCATAATATTCACAAGGCCTGTAATTATGGTTAATTTTTAATGTTTAGAAATTGTGTCGGATCTAAACAGGATGGTGGCTGGACTACAACGTCTGGTGAATAATGCCCGGCCCGGGACATATATACTCCCACCACAACTGGACAACTAATCTGGATCACTCCTTTCATTGATTATGATCATACATATGACAAAGACTTTCATAATTAAAATTTTTTCTCATAGATTCAATAATTTGTTGGAATAAATAAATATTCACATGCAGTTTGATAGTGTTTAATGAATATTGGCTATGCTTGAATATTTTGTAAAAATCATAGATCTCACAACTACATGGAAATTATGCGATGGTTTGTGAGTAATAAGATTTGTAAAACTTTACACGTGAGCGAAAGACATACTTTCACAGAAAATGCAATAATAACAGCAACGCAATAATAATAGTCCTCCTCCTAGTAACAACACTGGGATGAAAGGGAAGGAACCATAGGCAGTGGTAGGTGACTCCCTGATTGTGTATTTATTGGCGTGATCTCTTGTGAAGCACTTGACATCGATAGCTGAATAGGTGGACATGTCAACCAGCGTCAACGTCCTTCACAACCAGTCTCAAGCTGGGAGTTTAACAATGGGAAATAATTACCGACTAAAATCATTTCTTTGTGAATCACGCCTTCACAATTTACTCACAGTACCTGAACAATCAAGGATAATTTCCTAATAAGACTTTCATGATGAATTTATACACAAACTTTTCGAGTGCGCGAGTTTATGTACAGTTTCGCATAATGCACAGCAGGAATTAATGAAAGGTTCAAGAAAAAAGCACCGTCAATGAAGAATAACTTTCACTGCAAGGTAAACAAATATTTAATAATTAATGAGTGACTTTTATATTAAATTAACAGGGTATTCTTGATATCCACTGAATCGGAAGTGTGGAATTGAATGTCGAAGTGAGCGATGCATGTCTGTATGTATGGAAAATTAATTATCATTTGTAGCCAACAGCCACTTGTGCCAATGTTCAAATTGTATTTACGACGATCACCTTAGTCCAGAAAGTTGAATAAAAAAATAATCACAACGGGCAAAAAATTGATACCTATAGCTTGGAGCAAAATTGAGCAGAACGGGGGCATCATGTGAAAGGAATTGGCTGATAAGACATGAAAATGAAGGAAACAAGGCGTCATTCATTACGATTCATTGAACCAAAAATTATGTAAACGCGAGTTCTTGAATCAAGTATCTAGTTCCAACCAACGGTTAGTTTAGTTTTGCCTCCCATACGTAAAAAAAATAAGTGATAGATCAATCAACTTTTTCTGTCAGTACCTTCATAGATATGAGTTAAATGTACACTCATCAAGTTGCTATTGATGATTTTGATCATTGCAAATTCGTGATTTTTTATTTCTCGTCATCACTCGTAGAAATACTTATGAGCAATCTCCGCAATCAATACTTTCAACAAAGTGTGCAATTATCTAAGAAATGTGGTTCCATTGCGTGCACGTCACTAATTAACCGAGTCATTTTTTAGAATGTGAGCAAGTGGAGAGAAGAATGAGCAATATATGTTCGTTCGTGGTCTCTGGTATCAAATCCAATCCACACAATTAAAAATAGAAGTCTGACATAAAAGTTACTTTTTTAATGTGCATATTAATAGATTGGGCAAAAACTGTTGGACACGATTTAGAACACAAATTAACTGTTCTTTCTTGTACATAACTTTCAAGCGAGTGATAAATCTAATATAGTCAAACCAAGTGATGTGGAAGATGATTGAAACTGACTGGTTTTTCTGACATTTTCAATTTATATCTCATTCCAACATAAATATTCTCAACCTTTCAAGGAAATGGTCGATTACAATCTCAAAAATCAATATCTTTCAGCTTCTCAATGTTTATACAAGTTCTTGGATAATCGCATTTTCATCAAATTGTTTGACATTAGTTGTTGCTCATCAGTTACAAATATTGCATGGCAATTATAATAATAATCTGAACAAGTAAATAGATTACTTTAATTTAAATTGTTTCAATTTCAATGCAACTTTTCAATTCAGTAGGTAACAATTTGTCAATTTGTGAAATTGAATAACCTCGTTGGAAAGAAAATTAGGATAAAATTAGCAATTACTTATTTGTACTCCTAAGCCTATAACGCTGTTTCACTTTACACAAGAATATTACTGAACAGACCATCGTCGGATAGGATAATTATAACAAATTGAGTAATAAATGGTACAACTCACGAAAATAAAATTCCAAAATTTTTGATTGCCTTAAAAGATCATTCACTTGTGAAATCAAATGGACCTTTGATTGATTATTGAGTGCTTAATAACATAAACCAATTTACAACGAGTCGAAAATGTACGCACATAAAAATTGCATTACTTCTTATAAGGCATTTTCTGAGATTCAGCCATGATGACGATGATGATAATGACGACGACGACGAAACGATGATATTGAATCAAATACTTAGTAGTACTACTATTTTATTCAAATGAGAGGACCGTACATCGTACAAGCAAATGCAATATTGTGTTTTCCTAAGCAGCGATGATTGATTGTTTAAAAGAAGCTCGGCCTTCTTTCTATAAGTACAGCATCAATTAATTCTGGATTCGGGTTAACGACCAAATCAGACTCAATTACAAGTACAAATGTCCACATGTTGGCTTATGTTCAACGGCAATGAGAATATTTACAAGTTATTAACTCGCGCATATTAGCTGTGTACTACGGTACTTGTGCATTTTTTTAAATGACCGCATATGCATGTGAACAACACATTACACAAAAAAATTTTCTTAACATCATGTTCAAAGTTAAATGCAAATATGAGATTTCTTCATGATTTATATGAAAAAAACTTGGAATGGTCCACGTGGAAAATGGAAGTAGCAAGATTTGATTTGTTATGAAGACTTGTTCTTTGCTCTCTGCTCTGTGCGTGGGCGGACAACAATTTCGCCATTAGCCAGAAGATCAAGCAAATCCCTCTTAATCCAAAAACACTTAATTTACTTCAATTCCAGTTTGAGAATTACTTTTTTAATCTTGAATCATCCCTTTGTCAAGGAAAACTACGTGATTCCGGCCACTTGGAAATAATGAGTTTCATTCAATGAATGTCCCACGAAGATTGGCTATCTGCAATATTTCCGATCAATTCGATCAATTCGAAGAACATGGACGCTCACTGTTGGGAAATGTGTTCTTATGTATTCTCCTTAAACGTGGCAGATTCGCAAGCAATTGCTGCACCGCATGAGAGTAATTATATCTTGATGGGGTGCGTAGGCCGAGTTTTCTATTAGTCCTTACATACGATGAGCCATTATTATTGTCATCATCGTCATCATAATCACTACCAATTCGACGAGGATATCACCTTGAGTATCGCATAGACGACGACGGCGGCTGCATTTACAAATTATAAAATGCATCCTAATTTTCAAATTTACACACACACAGCAACCGGCCTTGTGCAATAGATGCACAAAGTATGTGTTCGCAGAAACCAATTCATAAGCGTTTAATGAGAAGTAGGAGGATATACGTACGTACGTATTTGTATTAGGTTTGCATTTGTTATCTATTCATTTTGCAAATTACATCGTCTAAATGAGCAATTATAAAAGGTATGATTTAATGATTGTGATATGTTTACATTAATAAATTCTATTTGCCTAGACCGACACCGTCGTCCATCAATTCTTTCTCTTTGCCGATGATGGATCAAAATCCCTCTGCAAGACAGGCAAGCGATTGAAGAACGTGATGTTCAGCATAGCTCCTGGCTTTTTGGTGTGACACATCATTAACTTTGCCAAAAGTTATACCGAAATTATATCCAAGTTATATTATATTTGAGCTTATTTGGTTTTGCATAATAAGTTATACTGCCTTCAGCACGGTCAGTGCTTTATTGTTGCCATTATTGTCATTATGATTATGTGTTGAATGAATAGTGGACGGAGGAGACCAGTGACGGAGGGCACATACGTGGTGGATGGAACGTCAGTAATAAGTGACGATTTGTTCACAAAGCGCTGAGGGACGGTCAATACTACTGTATTGTGTGTATCCTTTAATAATTATTGTTGGATCATGTTTGTTTTGTTTGTGGTGGTGGTAAAAGTATGTGCATTTAATTTTGGCAGCCCCAAGGTCGATTTTGAGTAGGTACTTTACGAGTGGGATATTTTATTTCGCTAATTATTCAATAAATTTCATTCCGCAATTATGCACACGTTATAAAACGCCATATTCAGTTATAATGGTGTCTCCTTCACTTTTAAACATTTCTATCTTCCCATTTTGAGCTGTTTCATATTTCATTTCATTTCATGGTTCGTATTATCTTTGTGTGTTTCTACTCGTGATAAAAGTATCAGTACATACTTGCTAAATATGTTTTGCCACTTTATAAATGTTATTTATTTGCAAAAAAATGATGCATGTTTTGTGGCTACTGAAAACTAATTGCTTGAATAAAATATTTGCTCTAACTAATGACATCTTCCCAACGAAACAACTGCCTGCGCTGTCCCATATCCAATGGCAGAGGAGACGACTAGTTTTTGCATACAGTGAACTTCGCAATGAGCAATAACTCGTAATTAAATAATTTAAGAGTCTTCCTCTGACTCGCCAATTTGAGAGGAAAACATATTATCTGCGCTTCATATTGCATTACATTTCTGGTAATTTGAGCAAGAAATGTGAATAAATGTGCAGCCACATATTACAAATCGGTACAAGTTTGATTAGATGACGCGTGAATTAATCACATAATGGAGGAGCTGCTTTAATAAAGTGTCGAAATTCAAGAAGTCTTGACATGAATGAGTTTACGAATGAATGGATGAGGAAGCTACACGGCTACTCTTTTTACTGCGTTTATGTATCTCCACTGCACAGTAATCACTTCATATTGCTACCGTGCAGTACAGAGAGATGCTCGTTAATAATAATAATAATAATAGTAATAATAATGAGAAGATGCGATAGTAGTGGTAAAGAGGATACATTGTATATGGCCATAAATTACTAGATTTCGCTGACGACGACGATCATGATGAGACGCTTAATTAAAAATTAGGCAGAAGAGCTCAAGTTTGACAGCAAGGACCATACATTACGTATCATAATATTCCGGCATATTTCGCAAGGGTCGTCGGTGTAAATAAAATCTCTATTTGCACAATTTCCATCTGCAGAGAAGAAAAGTGTCTGCGTGTGGTTTCTCTCATGACTGTTTGAGTGAGTTATAGTTAATTCTAATAATTTGGGAAGTTAAATACGAGATATTGATACGCATCTATGTACACGTTTTCCACGTGTAAGACCGAGCAGGGCTGAATATCGTCGTACTAATTCATAAAAGACCTAAGTGCAGTCGATGCTAAATTCAGAAAAGACCTAAGTGCAGTCGGTGTTTAATTCAGAAACGACCGAAGTGCAGTCGATGCTCAATTCAGAAAAGACCTAAGTGCACAGAAAAAAAGTGAAAAAAGACCTATGTGCAAGTATGTATTTACTTATGGCTAAATCGCGCGATATATAGGAAAAATCATTTTGGCAAGATTTAGCCATAAGTAAATACATACTTGCACATAAGTCTTTTTTTACTTTTTTTCTGTGCACTTAGGTCTTTTCTGAATTGAACATCGACTGCACTTAGGTCTTTTCTGAATAAAGCATCGACTGCACTTAGGTCTTTTATGAATTAGTACGACGATATGCAACATACTATATGGGCAAGTCAATAATAATATGCAGCATCATTGGTCAATACAGTGTTGAAATTTGCAATTTAGCCGAGTTCCAAAGTTGTGATTCAATAATGACATGACATGAGACGAGGGAAGAGAAGAAGGAATGAGCTTTGTTCAATAATTTTACAACGGCTCTCGTCTCTAAACACAATGCGGATTGCCGAAAGCCAATCTCATGATTGGAATCTATCATAGATTAATGGGTGCTTAATAGTGGTGGCTTTACAATATATGCACAATAGCGTCCGCATAATATGTGTAAGGCTCTGCTCCTGAGTAAATTGTTTTTCAGAGAATAAATAATCTTTGTGCTGTCCCATTTCAACCGGAAAAGATTCAGTTTGCACAAATTTTTGAAAAATCTGAACTTCAGAATGGAACAAAGAGAAAAAAAACTACTTGTAAATTTGATGCTCTTCGTCATACCTAAATTTACATGAAAAAGCCCCAAAAGTTGATTGGCTTTCGTCATGCTCACAAGTAATCAATCCCCTGTTTAAAATGAAACAATCGGTATGCGTCAACCCAATATTTTTAACAGTAGGCCCTCATTGTTACAAGGTACTTGTTGACAAATTAAGATTTACTGGTATGCATTAACAATACAGCACTCGGTTCTTTTTTCTGCATGCATGGATGAATGGTGCACTAAATGTAGTAGTTTGGCTACCACTTGCAAAAATGTGTATGTAATAATGGATTTCCCAAAGTACACGAACCTGCAATTTTTTGCTCCGATACTTGTCCAATCCTGCCGAGAGTGGTGGAAGGAGCGAATTTGTCTTCTGAATAAAGCGAAATGATTCACTGCGATATAATTTGTTGTCAGAATTTCGTCTAAAGACAAAATCACACCACTTCCTGGGGAAGTAATTCGCCGCGTTGGATATCTCAGTCTTCCACTTGCTCGGAGTTTTGGGGGGAGATGGGTAACTTGGTTTTGACGAGAATAATCCACCCCCACCCGAATTTGTCTCCGACAACTTGAGTTCTCCTCCTCCTCCGGTAAAATGGATGTGTGGGTTGGATCTGTGCAATTTCCCATTTCGGTCCGAAAAAGGAACGCGTCCTGAACGATGGAGGATTTCACTACTCTTAAAAAAACTCTTTTTGCTCATAAGCTCATTATTCATGGGTTTATTCGCTTTGATGTTGTTTGCCTGGCAGAAAATGTTGTGATGACTGGACCTGTTTTTCTGATACTGAAACGGGTACACATTTCCGTACACGGAGTGCGAATGTTGAGCCATTTTGTGAGGGGATAATCCAACTCGGAAGTCAACTTGTGTAGGTACGTATCAATCTAGTCTGACAAACGTGGAGACATTTCCTTACTCTCAGGTTTGGAAGTGATGACCAGAATGAGGTTTTCCAGGATGTGTTGGTGATCTCCCATGATCAAGCTACCCACGCTTGTCATGCTCTGTCGTCATGATGGTATGAAAATTGGTTATTCTCCAACTAGTCTCACTTTTCTGACGAATTTTGCACAGTATTTTTCACTCGAGGAAGAATTTCGGGCAATAGCGTGTCTCATATCGGAAATGGCTACCGTGTATGGAAACACTGATCTTCGTATAAATATAATGCATGCTTATAGACAAATGAATAAATAGAAATATTGTTCTCTGTTCTCTTATTTCGGCAAAAAATGGTTTGTCACTGACTCATTCCCTGACTGAAATGCTCCGTTGGTGTTGGATGAAATTTTCACGAGGGATATTTTGTACCAATCTGCAGGTGTGTTTTTGTGGCGTCTGTAATGTTGGAAGGCGATCCACCAACTGACTAATACTTACGACTCGGCATTGGGTTTCATGCATGCGAGTATCGTTACGTAATGCATCTGCTTCAACATCTCATGATCACCACGAGCAAGTAACTATCACACAACAGGTGGATTTGTCAAGTTCCTTTGCTGCTGCTGCTGATATGCCTTTTGGGCAAACCATGCAAACTAACTACGTACATAAACGAAATTGAAACGGCCTCAGCTACCTGTCCGCAATCAAGTGAGCGAGTTATTATTATTGCATGGCATGACATGGAACGTGTACAAAATGATTATTGGAGATCTATTCGGATTCTAAATTAGGGTGTGTACCATATCATTATATTCTATATGTTCGTTGTGCAGGTAATCTTACAACTGTAGTAACATGAAGACAAACATACGTATGGCATGAAATTATTTGGTGCACTTTATTTATCATAATTTTCATAAGATATGGATCAGATTTGATATTAACATAGATATTATTCAGTAGATATGTACCAGTATTAGTATATAGCATGCATTAATTTAAGAATATTAATAATTCGGCACAATGGGCACGTGCTTGATCCAGTTCTTGAACCGACGCCGAATGTAGGCTAGGGGAGGAGGTGGCTTGTTCTTCATGTTCTTTTCCGGGTGGAGGCGCACGTCCTTGTCCGTCGCCAGCAGGTCGGCGACGACGCCACGGCCGCCCTTTTCCAGCCACTCCTTGCACTTGGCGTTCTTGTCGCGAATCTCCCGAATCCAAAGTTCGTAGTCGAGGTGGCTCATCTGGTTCATTTTATTGATAAACCATTTCAGCTCGGGTTTGAGGGTGGGGTCCTTGAGCGGATCGGGCGGTGGGGGAGCGTCCTTTTCAAACATGTAGGGGAACAGGTAGCGTTGTTCGGGTTCGGTCATGTCTGTAGGTTTAAATACAATTAGTTTAAAAGTTAAATGTTAAAAGTTTAAATATGTTTAAAAGTTAAATAAAATATTTAATTCTCACATCCGAAATTGAATCTATGCTGGACAACTTTGGGTTGCCATGGTTCAAATAATAGATCCATAAGGAAAATCCTCCGACTTTTCGTACTTCGTCTGCTCTCGCAAATACTCCTCCCGCTGGAACTCCATTCGGTCTTTCGTCTTGGGTTTGCAGGGTGACCCCCATAACGCCATGTGGCCCTTTTTATCTTGCGTATTATAATCCTTTTTGTTTGAAATCCATTTGGGCGTATAGCAAGCCCGGGGGACGCCTTTTTCCGTCAATCGTCTCGCCGCCACCTTGTCGATCGCGGCTCGGATCATGGTTTTACTGACGGTGGGAGACATCGGACCGTCCAGAGAGTCCTGGCTCGAAGATGGAAGGGATCGTTGACTCAAACAAGAAAGGGATCCTCGACTCAAACACCGGAGCGATTCAGACTCCATGGACTTCTTGTCTTCACTTTAATTAATATAAAAACATTTATAAAATATAAAATATAGTGACAATGGAATGGAGGTCTCTCAGCGTATACTCATAGATTTTGACTAAACTAGTGTCGATCTTTGACAGATTTAATTATTATGCAATTTACGAAAGATATCATCTCAGAATGGGCACATTTGGCAGAGATATTTGCATCCGCAGAGGAGAAAACGCGAAGTAAATTTAGAAAGTGTGACATTTGTCAAATTTAGGACACGTTTTCTCTTTTTCGAAGATTCTTGCACATAAATTGACTCATCATACATACCTTTCCGAATCCAGGGACTCCTCACTTAACTTATCGTCACTGATTGGTCGATTTTTTTCTTTGCTGCTGTCAAACGATGAGGAGGACGAGGACGATGAAGATCGGACTGCCGTGGGAGCAGAGTATGATGAAGACCTTACAGCCGTTCGAGTTGATCCAGAATACCCGGAAGAACTTCTCACTGCGAGGGAATATCCTGATGACCTCGTCGACACCAATGAGAGTAGGAGACCACGGTCCGTCATTGTAGTGCGGCACTTTGAATTTTACTTTCAAATAATTAATGAGTATAATTATAAAATGGACTAAAATTTGATAGACTTTTCGGCCTGTCGTCCCGGCTGACTGTGATTGAATGCCACCACAACTGCCTTTTTCAGTCCAGCCAACCTTCTGCTGCCATGACGACCTCATCATTCTTGTCTAGACGATTGGAGATCATTCTAGACGTGAAACTTGGATTGAAAATTTTTCAATGTCTACTCTCGCATCTAATATTTATCCATACCAATTTTCAAAATATTTTCGAACCTACTTGGATAAATGCATTTACTTATATATATATATATATTCATGATTGTTTTCTCAATCATGTCCCACCTGAACGCTTGTATATAAATACTTATATTTATTATTATTTATAAATAAAATGACACATTTAATGGAGATAAACATCGTGATCATGATGAAGGGACCTAATAGGAGTGAAGAATGGATTGCATTTTTATACGGGCGACAAGCTTTCTTCACTCGGAGAACAACGACAGGTGTGTCCTCTGCTGATTGCATGGATGGAATATCTACTCTGCGTGGGCGACTACTGGATGCTACATTTCCGTCAAACTTATGTACTTATCGTCGTCCTCAAAACTTTCTCTCGGTGCACTTCATACATACAGAGAGAGAAAATGGGTGCATGCATTTCACCTCTGTCTCCGCCACTCTCTCACTTTCCTAATTATTTCAAAGTGCAGCAGGTAGGGCTGGAGAAAGGGAGGGAGTGAAAGAGAGAGGTTGTTGGCTGGTGGGGTACGTGTAGCTCGTGTCGTGTTAGTTTTGGAGTCCGATCCGAGAAAAAATCGAAGTTTCTGATGGGAGGGAAAGTTCGGATGGGGAGAGAAAGGAGTGAAATCACGGAGAAAAGCTATTAGCTCCTACCAACAGCAGCCACCCACCACTGCAACTGTAGTGGGATATATACGACCAGCGCCTTACAACTGTCACTGCTAACCATTCTCATCTCGTCTTCCAAAGTCACTTTTTATATTAACCTTTGCTTCAGTTGCCTTAAATAAGTGGTCGAGGAGAACTTTCCTGGTTGGCTTTGGAGGACTTGAAGAAGGAATGACGTTGATCACTGCCATTTCCAGTTTTTGTGCTAATCTATTCCAACCTGCTTTCACTTTTGGTTGATACATATATGTACAATAATCTCTTGTCTTCTTCCTGGTGAGATACATAACTCACGACGGGCCAGATAAATCATTTCACGAGTCGTATTAGAAGTATAATGTGCAACGATATGTGTGCACCAGTAATGCTACTTCGACAACCTTACAATTAGATTTACCAGTAAAGGCCTTTCGTCTTCCGGGATAGCAATTACTGAATAGTCAATCATTTATTGGTGGTTACTCTGCTACATTCAGACACAAAGATGTCGTCTGATCCTGTATTCATCCAAGTCTTGTCTGCCATTCCGGTTCTAAAGTACTTTGCAGACTTTTACCATCAAGTGATTCCTGAAGCTGGTGAGAAATTATTTCGGTGTGGAGATGTATGCATCATTTTCTAAAGAATTTATATTGTTTCGCAGATAATCGCACAGCGTACTGGCCGATGATGAGCTCTCCGGATATTCCTGTAGCCATCGTGCTTGTATATTTATTCATCGTGGTATTTTTCGGGCCTTGCTGTATGCGGTACATGAAAGTCCCAGAAGTCAATAAAGTGCTCGTGGTCTACAACAGCTTTGTGCTCACTCTTAACCTGTGGTTGGGAATATCGGTAGAATGAGATTTATTGGATTTAGTTACAAAACTTTGATGTGAAATCTTAAAAATTAAATTTCATTATTCCAGTTAACATGGCATATCTCAAAAGGTGGATATCAATTGAGCTGTCAGAAAGTCGGAGTTGTTGATACGAACGAGAACGCCGTAATAAATGCATACATGCATTTTGTACCTTTTTTATGAATTATTGCATGTTCTCATCTTCATGCATATTCAAATTTCAGATTTCGTCTCTCCTTTGGATTTTTCATTGCTCTAAAATCATTGAATTGATTGACACCCTGTTCTTGGTCCTAAAAAAGAAAGGAAATCAGCTAACCTTTCTCCACTTGTACCACCATTCCACCATCGTAGTGGCCACTTGGATCGGGGTGAAATTCGTTCCTGGTGGCTCATGTATGTCTTGAACAGTAGTTTGTACATATGTACATATCTACTCATTATCGTTCCAAACTAAAATTCTTTCTTGTGTTTTAGCTGCTGTCATTGCAATGGTCAACAGTTGGATACATGTGTTCATGTATTTTTACTATGAAATGATGGTTCTTAGGGTAAAGACATTCCGAAATTACAAGAAATTTGTAACAATCTTGCAAATTGTAAGTGATTATAATGCACCTACAAATTCTAGTATGCGCATGTCATCAAATTAAATAACTGGGGTTACTATTGTTTTCAGGTTCAGTTTTTGGCCACGATTGTGCACTGTAGCACAGCATTAAGAAAAGCTTGTGGTTACCCTCGATGGATTCTGACATGGTTGCTCCTCTACATGATTTCCTTCCTCGTTCTCTTTGTTCATTTTTACGTTCAGACGTACTGGAAGCCTAAAAAGGGAGAAAATCCAAGTGTTCCTAAAAGAATAGATGAGTTGGAAGAAAATGGGAGGAACGAATTATGGGAGAAAAATCATCAAATTCAAAATTCTGCATTTTCCGACGATGAAGATCAAGATTGCGGCTATGAGGATGGGATTGATCGAGATGATGATGTCGAACTTGCACAAAATGAAGAGTTAACTCAAACACTTACATTTTCCACCACTACAGAAAATGAGGAAATCATGGGAAGCAATGGAGACTTTGACATTGTGCAGTGGGATAATTTGGACGAATCTGACATTATAATTTCCTCTGATGAGTCTTCCGACTCTGAGAAAGACGGCCTCCTGGAAGGAAAAGTAGTTCGCGACGAGAAAGACGACAAGTTTGTAAGGAAGCTTTTCACTTCCAGTGCAGTGCAGTCCTCTTCTTAGGATTAGAGGAGAGATGAATTTAGGGCATGGACTATTGTGTAGCCCTAATTATAGATGTACTGCCAACAACCATAACTCATATTTTTTGACCAGTTTTATTAGTTACAAGTGATGCTTCTTACATATTTCCTAGCATTAGTGTTAAGCTAAAATACGGTAATATTGACATTCATGAAAAAATGAGATTTCTTTACCCAGATACATACCTTAATTTTGTAGTGGTAAAACCAGTACTGATTTTATATTTAACTATGTAACTAATTTTATGTAACTAAGTTATGTAACAAGCACCTGATTTGTTTTCCTAACAGTACTAAAAATGTAATGTCTGTGCTAGACGGAGGAAATTAGACAACCAAGAGATACATCAACGACCATTTTTTGTACACGGGGTTTACTTATGGTTAGTAGTTGTTGTTGTACCGTAAACTTTATCAATTCCTTATTTGCTACCCAACTCATAAAGAGAAACATAAAATAAGAAACTATAAAAATTGCAAGGTAATACAAAAAAAATTACAAATCTATAGGTCTACGGGTGTACTATCCGGATTAACTTTTGGCTATACATTAATTATACAACCAACATACACACAGTTGTAAAAGTAATTTTCAACTTTTATGTGATTTCAATACAAATCAGCATTATTGAATTGTAGGAATAGTTATAGGAAGGCATTGGAAAAGCCACTATGAGACCTTGCGTTCGTTCAAGTATGTACACTGTTCGAAATTCTTGTAGGTAATTTGTGCTTGTCCTACAAGTAAAATGTGTAGAAAATGATAGCAAGACTTTATTTTCTAAAAGAGTTTTTCATTTCGTAATCTGCTGACTCGTTAATGTTGGGTCTTTCAAGAGTTTAATACTACAATCTGCGCACACTTGTATGATAATTGTATGTGTTGAAGAGTTGAGATGTTGTACGTATTTAGTAGTAGTCTGAATGAATAATAAACACAAGCAATACCCACAGCTCAAATATGGTGGATGAATTATTACGATAAAAAAAATAAATTCATAAGTCTCCTGCGTATGTAAAAGTAAGAACGAACTATCAAATTTATTTAAACATAGATAAATGCATACAGAACTAAAAAACTTTATTGGAAGGCAATTTAGCATAGATAAGTAAGAACTTCGAATTCATAAATATTTAGGTATTGATACTCCACTACATGTATCATTTAACAAGTTTACCAATTGTACCACTTGTGCCCTCGTCCACGCTCCCTGATCAGAAATACGTAGAGGAATGTCGTTATAAGCAATGTAAGGCCAATTATGGTCAAACTTATGTGCAGCACGCTAAGTCGTCCCTCACGTTCGGCTGGACGTGGTCGAACAGGAGCCATTGCCGTCACGGGTACAGCTTCCCGTCGAGTTTGAGGAGCAGAGAGAATTTTCTGAAGTGGGAGGAACACTTGATGCCAGAAGTCAACGTCTGCATCCAGATTGTTGGTGGTCGACAGTTCAAGTCTGTTCCCAGTAATGCCAGTCAACGTTTTGTTGATTTCGTTAAATTTATGCCAGGTTGTCCAGGAGGAGGGATTTCTAAGATTGCATGGATTTTTTTATGGAATTGTAATTTTATTTTTTGGAATATGTAACGCATACCCGGTCTTAACAAAGTTTGTCCATGCTTGCAAGAGATCTTTTGTGATTTTGAGATCCAGTTCGTCAAATGTGGTAGAATTGGTGGGGAACAAGGTGATGATTTCATCTCCCAAGGCTCCCTCAAAATATGGTGGATGAATCGAAGTGGAAGGGCGATATGCAAACTCGTACCGATAAATGACGGAATTAAGTCTTGAGGCATATCTTGCAAATGATTCGACAGGATTTCTAACATACAGAACCCCACAAAATCGGAGGAAAGCATCACGCCAGGATTTTCGAGCCTGAATTTCTTGACGGAAATAATATTCATGCGCAGTAAGAGTTATCAGGCGAGGGTCGTCAATTTTGTAAAATTCCTACAGAAGCGAACATGTACCAGAACGAATTTTCATATTTAAGTATATGTGGAATTAAATGTAGGATAATAATTACTTTTATGTTGTTGTTAGCCAAATAGCCAAACTGAGATTCTGTCAAGGAATCTCTGTCAAAGTTGTTCAAAACGGGAGACTTCATATATTTCAGTGCATCATAGCAAATTGAACCACTGTCCAAATTATCGCCCACGAGGAAAGAGATGTCACTTGAGAAATATCCCTGTCACGCAGAAATTAAAAACTGATGAGACAGCGACTGGAAAATTGAGATTAATGTGCAATTTTCTTACAAACTCGATTGACGTAAGAGGATTTCTGAGCACTGTAACTCCGTCAATGGCCGGTTTCCACTCTCCAATAAACTTTTCACCAGCTTCTTGCAGTTTTTCAACGTCCAATTCTTGCAGACAGGCGAGTGATTCGTTGCTGCCATTCCTGACACACTCAGTTTCGGCTACAAACTGGGAGAAAAGTTCGGAAGGGTTGTTCTCGACGGTGTACTCGGACGTTGCTGCTCCTCCGTGAATGATTACGCGTTTGGCCAGAGGTTGAGTCAAGTTACCGTTTCTGCAGCAGATTCGAATAAATATTCGTAATTTCATTACTGCTAACGCATGCATAATAAATGATTCTGACCAAACCTACCGGTAAAATAATGGTGATGCTATCAAAGTTGTGATGGCCATAGCTCCACTAAACCTTCCACCCACCGTGACACGGTTTGGATCTCCATTAAACACCTTGGCATTGTGAATTATGAACTGTAAGGCACTGGCGATATCACTCAGCCCTGCATTTCCTGGAAGGGTACTATTTCCCATGCTTGCAAACCCAAAGACTCCTAAGAATTCCCAAAGCCAAGCATTTTCGCTGTATTATTTCTAAAGAATTTCCATGAAACTCGTTCAAATATTCGAAATCTACTTACCAACGCGATAGTTGATAGTTACAAAGATGATCCTGCCCACTGCTGCCAAAGCGGAACCATTGTATTGAACCATGTCCGCAAAGGAATAGCCATTCCCAGGAACAAACATCATGATTGGGAGCTTTTCCTTGGGCGAAACGTCAAATGGTTGGTAAATATTCATCCTTAAGCAGTCCTCCGATACTTGCACACCACCCTGCGGAATTGAGGGGTGGGAAAATTCGGGGTTGTGAACGGGTTGAATGCATGCTGGTGGAGATCTCGTATTGTGATGGGTGGTGGGGTCGCTGGCTCTGTTAACTGAGGAATCTTGACCAAGGAGGGGCACCGAAGGGAGAAATCTTCTCTTCTCAGTGGGGATTTCTGAGTATGGGATCCCAAAGAACTGGACGACTTTCCCCCATCGCGTTGCAATCGGAAATCCCAGCACTTTCCCTGCCGAGGTGGACACTAGGACGCCCTCACGTTCGGCTTGACATTCGCACCAGGATTTTTCGGTCGCCAGGAGTAAGTGGAAGATGATGATGAAAAAGTAACACTTGTTTTGATTGATTTTGAACATGATGCAGCAAATCTGCTCTGAGATCCTAAACAGGAGAGAACGCCAAGTGAGATTTGGATGCGTGGCTGTCTATCGGGCACGGTTAATTTAGAGCGTCAGGTCCTCGAGAACAGGTAGCTTGTCCCCCTCCGGTTGCTAAACCGTCACTAAGCTAGATTGGACCCAGTAGCACTTTTCTCACTGGACTGATCTCAATTCGCAACCCGAAATGAGCTAATGAACTAATGGGCAAATAGGCATGTTGCAAATTTATGCAAGTGGCTGGACCGAGTCATCCTCGCTTGGGGTGGAGAGCAGTCTGTCAATCCACGCTGTGTTTGTGATGAGTTCATTAAGTATTGCTGACACCAATTCAATTATATTTTTGAGGTATTATAGCTGCTAATTTGGAATTATGTACTATTGCATTAATCACTTTTGGTAGAATGAACACTGGTAATGTTGATCAAAAAAGCCTGTTTCATCGATAATTGTCGGTGACCCTGATACCGTCGTCAATTTATCAGCCAAGTTCATCGCTTATGATTTGATTGTTGTATTGGAACCTATCCGCATCTGCATAACATACTGCTCTGTATTGCTGATAATTTCATTTGTACTCGTAACAATATATACACTCAATTGTTGCATCCAGGTACAATATTAGAGTCTCAATGTCTCCCATACGTAAACTCGTAGTCAAAAAATCACTACACAAATCTATCTTGGTAGTTTTTTTAAAATAATATATTTCTTGTTCTTAATACGATCTTTCATTTTTGATGGGTTACATTCAGTTCGTTCGCAAGTGAGTGGACATAAACGTTTCAAAAGCATAATCATGTGTTAAAATCTGGAATATGTTTGTGTTATCCTATGCAAAACTTGGTTTTTGTTGTGCTCTTCGAATTAAATAGTTATATATACAGAGTCAGTTCCTAGACCAATTAATTATGTGATAAAGTGTCTTCCTTCTATTTTATGATACACAAATAAATACCTTTCACATTAAAGTGTCGGAAGATTTGAGGCATGCGAAATCAACCAATCAATCTAAATTGGCATAGAAGACATGCAGTTCAAAGCTTGTTATGAGCTCGTTATTGAAAGAAACAACCAGTTGAATGACATTGATTGAGATGTCATACGTGATCTCATTTGTCATATTCTCGCACATGTAATTTAAGCATTTTTTCATAGATCTTCCTTGAGAATCAACTTTCGTCGTTTGGCTAACCGTCATGACCATCAAATTTGGGAATATTCCAGCATTCATTCAATGTCTTTCATATTTTTCATAAATGTGCTGAAGATGCGCATGCATGAATTGACTGAAATTTACAAGGACACTTATAGTGTCTAGACCAACATTTTGTACCGGGTTTCAGTTCTAAGACCTCAATAAGTTCACATGATGTTTATGAATTCCTTTTTTAATAACCATTCTTGTTTATGATAGAGTCTGTTAATATAAAATATGTAATGTGGCAATGTCCAATTTGCACACCGACAAAGGGTGCTAAAATTTTAGCTCAACTTTTACTTGGTGCCATTGGTCGAAGACGAATAAACAATTCGCATCGTGTCACTGGATCACTTGGTAAAAATGGAGTCATTGTTCGATTCCTTATGCAAATGCTGATATGCTTACAAATGTCATTGTCAATAAGAAAAAATATAATTAGGTAGTTACATTATGTAAATATCGTAGGAATGAGGAACGTACCTATGTCTGACGGAAAGGACAATGGTTTCTCACGGTTCAGTTCATATCAATTTCATCATAAAATGGATCATATTTCAGTTTTTGCTCACGTCATGACATTTGTGTAATATTGGAGACGAGCTGGAAATCGGAGAAAGTATCAAATTCACAGAACTGAATGTTTTATTGCAGCTACCATCACGTGCAAATAACATGCGAACCAAAATAACTCATGTTTCTCACACTATCAAGAAATAGTTGTCCTAAGTAATCGGTACTTCAACTTGTAGCGATTAAAATTGACAATGGCCTAAATACATGTACTTTAAGAAAATTTGGTAGAACATGGATCTTGATATGTTCAAGCATGGTGCGATGTGGTAGTTATTAAGCAAATTTTTGTGACAAAAACTATGCAGTTGAGTAGACTCATTGATTTGGCATTGAACATGAATATGCAAAACTTGACTTGGCAAAAGTAGACTTGATGCCCTTAAAAAAGCAATTGATGAGCTAAGGAAACACCATAAATAATCAACTACTATGCGATCAAAGGTAGTCAGATGGAGACAAAAACTAGACCCAATAATGTCATTATGCAATTTTACAGAAAGTTTACGGATTATGCAAATTAGTTCAAATGAGAAGACTATTATTCTTATCTTACAAGACTTTGGTATTCCGATGGAAAGTACGCGTGCCCTCGGTGAACATGCATTTATGTACGAGTGGCTTTATACTTTGATCAAAGTCCTCGCCATCAGTTCTGAAAAATGGTATCAATATTCGTATCAGGGGAATTAGAGACAAATTTTAAACAAAGGTTTTATAACGTGTAGAAATCTACATATTCATGTGCTATCCTCAAAACTATAAAAAAGTATTCATTATGAAGATAGTTCAATCAAGTGGTAATTGAGATGAGGAGTCAAATGTTAGAGATAAAAGATTTGAACAATAAAACCTTCGCTGATCCTGAGTTTTAAGGGACATTTCCATGCACCACTCTACGTGACGTATGTAGATATGTATGAATTTAAAGCAAGATTTTTCGCAATAAAGGAATACTCTACATTTTCTACTAAATTTATTCACAATAAATAATCCCAAAAGTCAAAACAGTTCAGAAATGTAAACGTAATTTTGTTCTAAAGAGTTCAGTCAATTTTCTGAGAACAAGGAATGAAAATACCAACCAACAGTCGATTGACAAATTGTGTAAGTACGTACATTGAGTGTCAAATATGCCAAGCCAAATAATTAACAGTAGTTAATATGCATGTTCATCCATATAGACCGGATCTTAAAATATGTTGCATGAGTTTTCTTCTCAAATTCATCATTTACACGTACATGAAGACCTTCCTTCATTCAGAGTTGTAGAATCTGACATCAGACGACGATCACGGATCCTGTAAAGACTAAATGGTCAAGAAAATGCGACATACATTTAATTTTCATACTAAAAAAATGACTTTCAAAATATCATGCTGACGAGGCGATAATGACGTAAATGAGGTGGCAGACGTAATTTTTTTTAATTAGTTAAAAATGATAAAACAGAATGCAAATAATTAATAAAAACAATATACAGGAAACGAAACAAGGGAGTATTATTTTGGGATTGAGCTAGCATGCAGCATGATTGCTTATTTAATTTCGAAAAGAATTATAACAAGTAATTTATATACGTTATTAAACATTCACGCATGGATCATGATATTAATATGGTGAATAATTTAAGCGAAAAACAAAACAAAAATATTTATCAAAATCCATCCGTACCATAGTTGAATGGATATATTAATTCAACATAGTGTGTCTGTCGTATATATTTTTCCGCTGTTCCTGGACCTGTCTCTTCCATTTGCTCTGTTGATGGCCAACACGGTTCAAAACGCTTGACGAAGGGCCTAAACTGGTCGCCACAGTTGTTGAGGTCACAGATCCACCACCCGTCACTCGCATTGGATGAGAGGTTCTGCCTCCTCCAACTGATTCATCCTGTGATCATTAAACCTTTATTGTTCGCTACTGGCATCGGACAATTAAAAAAACCATCTGTACAGGCTTACGTCTTCATTCGTGTGCTCCTGGTATGCTGTGTTTTTAATCCGCTTATTCAGCAGGGGATCCAAACACATGAGAAACAACATATAAATCATGAGCAGAGACACGACCCAGATAACGATGATAACTACCACCTGCAAGTCCAGATTAAACAGGTTAATTTCAAACAAATAACCATCTTTTAATTAAATTTGTGAAACTGGCAAACCTTGATGATTTCTAAATTTCTGCTCTCGTACACGCAGTCACATCTTGGACAAAACTCTCTAGTTTTTCCTTTAATGTTTGCAAATGTCTCCACAACTGGGAGAACAACATCGTCGCAGGTGCTGTCAAAATGAAATATCGTTAAAAATTCATATAGCACAGGAAAAATTCACACAATCAAAATTATAACGATGATGATCCGCCTCACCATAAATTTGCAGGGACGCTGTTGCTGATATAGAGAGTTCTATTAGTAGAGCTGCCTGACGAATTTGGGCTCGTCCCGTTATAATTGACTACTTCAGGGTCAGGGCAGATGCACTTGCACCGTGTGTTATCATATTGGCCCTGCATAATCATAGTTTTTAAAGCATAACAGTATTATTACCACTTTTCATTACAGCTACATGCATACATGGAAAGATTATTGGTTTACTTTACCTCAGAAGAATGTACAAGCAGGAGAATCACAGCTGCAGAAACTGCCCATTTCGACACGGTCATATGACTACTTAAATCGTATTCAATCATTTTTCTTGATCTATTTTCAAGTTTAAATCCCGTTCCTTGGTTCCTTCTTTGGTTTTGAAATAGTTATTCCTGGGCTGCCAAGATAAATGAGATTTCCTAATCCTAACCGGGTACTTCAGAGATTTTGATGGTCCAACTTTATACAATTCGCCTAAAATTGAAAGAACATTACTGAATTATTTACTACACTGACTTACCATCAATTTCAATTCTTCATTAATTAAGAAATATTAATAACTTACCTTATCAAAACACGATTAAGTATTACGACACTAAAATGTATTTTACAGTAATAATATATACTTAATTTTTGCAACCTTTCCTGTTTCACAGGTTGGTTAATGTAATGAATTGGTGTTTCCCATTACAACAGCGGAAACTTTCCTGTTAGCGGTTCAAAATTAAAATGGACTTAAAACTTTTGGCGTAATAACAATAATCCTGGTTGTGGGTGGCATTTTGGCGTATTTAGAGGATGACGACTTAACGAGGAGCAGTTAATTTAGCAAAAACCAGACCACAGAGTCACCAGCACGTCAACAGTGCAAAAGTCACGAGAAAAATAATAATATGCGACGAAATGAGGCGAATGGAGAAGAGGGGCGTTAAGCCTGCGATTTAATTGAGATTTTGCCAGACATCGAGTTGACACGGCGCACGGTTCAGTTTTGTTGTCTTTGTTCGCATACTAATTTGCATTTGCATGTTGAACATGCAAATTATTGATCAAGCTATATAGTTGATAACTTGTTGATAAGTTATTTTCAATGTGCGCTCCCGGGTGGAAGAAGGACTGATTAAATTTCTACAAGGAATCACGGGCTCGTGACGGTATTAAAAGGGACATCAAGTAAGAATTTATTGTATTATTGCAAATCAGGAAATTCCAATTTTTTTCATCATGTATTGTGCATCTTGGCCCAAGATTCTTGGGGTTCCCATAAAATATGTTTACAAGTGTTGTTTGTAAAGATTGATAGACAGAAGTTAAGATAAATTTCCCAAAAAACTTGTTTATGCAAGTTGTAAGGTATACATTAACAGAAATATGTTTCAATTAACTCAATTATGCTGTGCATTTTGTACTTGGGGCATTGATTCCAGTCGAAGACCAATATTAAGGAAACCATAATTTACGCATATGGTGCGGTAAAACATATGAATTGCATTTTTAACAACACGGAAGTATGCATAGTAGACTTATTGACAAAATAACTAACTGTGTGTAATATTTGGAGTATTTGGCCCTTGTATTGCATGATATTTTGTGTGTATTGTGGTGACCTAGATTTCATAATTAAATGTCCCATCACGACATGACACTCTTTAGCTTGTGATTGAACTCTAATCATTGGAGTTCATGATATCACGACATTACACACGTTGTTTATGCAATTATATTTGCTGCAGTTTACAAGCACACTCTCCGCCCCTTTTCTAGATTACGCTTGAACTTATTTTGGTTTTAGTAATTGGCCTAAAAAATAAAATTATGAATGACATTAGTCTTCAATGCATATTGAGAGGTACATGTGTAAATAAATAATGTCTAAATATGAGCATATATATGTAGATCGAACAGCTAGAAAGATGGGGTACATACATATTTACTTGCATGCATCAGTATCCTTGAGGAAGTTAGATATGCATTTTTTGTATATAAGTTGTGAAAATTAGAAAAATCACGCTGGTGCTCGAAATTCCCAGTAAGTCATCATTTGCAGAAATAGAGCCCATACGTTCTGCACACATGGCACGAAAGGGAGGACCGACAAACATTGTGTGAATTCCATGAAAAACATCCTCTTAATTGAGCATTCTACTATTTCTACTATCATTTTACAATCTTGGTATACATAATGAGAACCCACACCGTTGACCGTATTCTGTAGTAAATAGTGTACGTGTGAATCTTGCTTGTCACTCGTCCATTTCTTAAGAAATGAAGGTAAAGAATGAGATAAATGTGCCTCAGGCAAGTTCCGTATGGTGCTATTAAAGGTACTCCTAGTTGCATGAATACAAACACTTTTGGCTGGAGCTACAAACAGACCGACCCTCAAATTATTAGTCACTTCTTTTCGTATATTAGTCATTAGTATAGCAGAACTGCAATGGGATTACGAAAATATTAGCAATTTGACCACCACAATTGCAAATAAAATTGAGTGAGCAAGAGCAAGGTGTAATAAAAAAAACTCAAAAACAACTCTTCCTTTCTTACACTTGTGGAACGTGGAACCAGTTTTAGTTTGGTTCAGAGGTTGTGGTCAAAGTTTGCATGTTCCAGAAGCCAACCTGAGTCTGACTTGTCCAGACCACGCCAGGAAAAAGGTACAACAAACAGCACTAAAAACTAGCTGAAGTTGTGGTCACGCTTAGGTTGCATGGATCATTGTTGGTTGGATTCTTGTTGGATTTGCTAATTTTATTTTGTACCTGCAGATAGTACCAACGAATCAACAAAATTGGCGTCGAACTTTGCACCTCTAATTTTATTTTGTGCGGACGAATTGGTGTGAGACTTTGCACCTGGAATTGTTTACTATTATATTTTGAAACCAAGATATTTTCCTACATCGTCCAGCAGAAGGATGGATCGACCTCTAACTACTTCCGGAGGTGGTGGTGGTGGGGGAGGAATTGCGGGGAGTCTTACCCAATTTTCCAATTGCATGGCCGTTAACATGATTGGAGTTAAATATAACATCGTCGAGACGTTGACGAGGCATCGGAAGTTGAATTTACAAGGTGACATACAAGCATTTTCTTTTAACGGATATTTTTTGTGAAATTAAATGTAATACTCACATGACTCAAATGACTCATCCCCTCATATTTTATGTAGTGATGCCAAAGCGAGCTGGAGATACTGCTGTCATCACTGGTGGTTCGAGAGGCATTGGAGCAGAAGTCGTAAAACAGTTGATGATCCTTGACATGCACGTTATCATAGGTAATAACACAACATTTTACAGGAAATCAATAATATCATTAAGAGCTTTAAATATTTAAATATTTTTTCTACATTCAGGTTGTAGAAAGGAGGCTGCTGGTGTAAAATTGATTGACAAACTAAGAAAGGAAGGGATTCAAAGTGGAAGTGCAGAGGTTCTGCTATTGGATTTGAACTCTTTCGAGTCTGTCCGACAATTCTCTCAAAACTTGTTGGACAGAAATATTCCGATCAATATCCTCATTAACAATGGTATTTATTTAACGAGTTTTTACATACCCATATATGGGCAGTTTTTTTATTAATGCAATTTTTTGCGTTATGATTAAATAGCTGGGATTATGTTCGTCCCAAAAATAACAACGGTAGATGGGTTCGAGTCACACTTTCAAACGAACTACTTGAGCCATTTCCTACTAACCAACCTCCTAATGCCACTATTAGTGAATGGTGGAAGTCCATACCGTGTGAGTCGAGTAATCAACGTGTCATCGGTTGCTAATTTCGGAGGAAAGATTAACTTTGATGATCTTAACATGGAGTAATATTTTTATCTTTTAGTGACCTTTAGAAAATGTCTATTTGTGAGAAGAAACGATATATATATGTGTTTCTGATATTTTATAGCAAACATTACGACAAATATATGGCCTACATGTCCACCAAGTTGATGCAAGTTGTTTCATCTAAAGACCTCAATGCCCGTTTGAAGGCCGATGGAAAACCTGTCCGAGTGTATTCTGTCCACCCTGGAGTCATTTATACTGAGCTGTACAGCAATTTGTGGTACTTGCAACCCATAGGCTGTATCGTCAAAAAAATGTTTAAGGTCTTCAAACTAATACTTAATACTGTTTACAAAATCAAATATGTAGCATTTATATACTCATATATTCATCTATCTTCTAGAATGCTGAGCAAGGGGCCGATGGCATCGTGTTTGTTGCAACATCTCCAGAAGTTGGGGAAAATGATGGGGGAGAATTTTTTATGAATTGCAGGAAAACAGTCCCAAATCCTAAAGCTCGTGATCCCTCCGTACAACAAAAGCTATGGAGTGCTTCACAAACCTTGGTTGGTCTTAAATCGTTCGTTCACAACGACACGATTGAAATTGTTACGATGACGTGATGTAATGCAATAGGACACGAAGCAAATAACTTTCTCAAGCTGCAAAGGAAAATGAGAGTGGTTCACATACATATCTTTGTTTTGCGGGTACCTGCGTATTTTGCAATATACACTTTCTCTACTAATAATAATGATAATAATAATAAATAATAATAGTAAATAGCGATAAGTTTACTCTCTCAAGCACTCGTACTTATACATATGCAAATTTGGAATGCAAATATTTTTAAATATTCCAAAAGTTGTTACTTTATAAACGATTTTTTTATGTTATGACTTTAATAAATAATTTGTATCACGAGACATTATTATCCTGACGACCATAATTTATTATTATAATTTAACAAGCATGTGCATATATGTAAAACTTTGTGTATATAAATTATGAGAATAATTTAGCTGTAGTTGTTCGTTCTTTTAAAGAAAAGCCTGAAGTCCGAATATTTGACTCCAGACAGCTCTTCTTGCTTTTTATTCCTCTTATTTCGAAGTGCTGGGGGTTCAGTAAGTAAATACGAGTAGTCATGATCCTCCTCTTCCTCCTCCTCCTCCTCTTCCTCTTCGTCCTCCTCGTCAGATTCGACATCGTCGGTATCCTGCTGAGGTGCATTTTCCCGACTCCCATCTTCCTGACTTTCGTCGTCCTCAATTTGTGGTCCTTGGCCTCCTTCGTCACTTTGTCCATCTTCATCCGAGCTTTCTTCATCCTTTGCTGCTGTTGAGTTGGCAGGATTCTGGAATTGTGGATTGGCAAAAGCATTGAAAGTATCCAGAGGAGAAACCGTTGGCTTGTTTGGATCTAAAATGAGAGGTTCCACCGGGAAGGGTAGAGGTCCTGGGTGCCGAATCTGTGGTACTGGAGGTTTGGCATCAGTCTTCTTCGTATTCGCAGTTATAGGGGTGACCTTCGGAAGAATGGGGAATGGAAACACGGGAGGGAATGGTTCTCCCGGATTGATAACCATAGGACCGGGACGTTGAATTTGGACCGGATGTTTTCCAACTTTTTGTTTTTTCCCTGCTGGAGGAAGTGGTGGAATCGGATATCCCGGAATACGTCCTGGGAATTGGAAGTTGGCATGATTAGGCTGGTACGGAATTGCAGAAAATGCATCATCTTGTGGCTCAAATGCCAAGGTATCGTCAGGTCGAAGAGGTTTCTTTTTCAACTCATCCTTGCTTGGGAAGTACGGCTTGACTTTGATGCTTCGGAAAATCCACTCCTGATTTGGTGACCAGGACACGCACTCATGTTCCTCCACTTTCCCAGAGTCTCTAATAGATTCATAAAGAATTCATGGGTGTAAATTTTGTTGTCCGTCTTAACCCCGTGCACATGAATGTATGGTCACTTACGACTTGTACAGGCATCTATTGTTCCATTCATTCTTGATTAGATATCTGCCCCGGTAGACGCTTTCAATTTTCCAAACTCGGCGAACGGAATGTGCGCTGGTGGAAATGCTCATATCAAACGTCAAAGGGTTAAGTTTTTGATGCACTCGGGGAATGATTTCGTAATCGGCGAGAGACACCTTTTCAAGTTGAAATTGTTGACCTTTAGAAATGAATGGTTTGAAGGCATGGGCTTTCACGACGGGCGTGTTGTTCTTCGTTTCGACAGTGAGAACCTGCAGTTTTTATTATTTCATGTGCAATTTGATATAGAAATGATTGACTCAATCAAGAAAAAGTCAGATATTGTTCAACTCACAGACCCATCAGCTCCATTTTGAATGTAATACCTTCCAGTGGGCACTGTATGAAAATATCATTTTTTTTACACATTTGTTTGTTAAAATGAGACGAATTTTAGTGTCGGTAAATAACTCTATGAAAAACCTTTAGGTCCACACGGACTGGCAGAGCTGATGATTTTGTTGAAGCTCAAAGCTTCCAAATTATCCTGAAATGTTCCATGGTATGGCTGAAGAGCTACGAATTTGCCTCGACAGTAGGGGAGGTCATAAAATTTGATGCAACTGCCATGAGTGTCCACCGAAACTGCCTGGTTCTCCCAGTTTAACGGCACATTTGTACAACCCTTCTCGCTTATTTCCAGTTTAAAAAATTCACCTGGATATTATGTAAATAATTTGCAAAAAAGACAGAGTTATACACATGTAGAAACATGCGAACAATAGAAATTAAAGAAGATAAGAGGCTTACCAAATTTGTCCTTATTTAAGTACAAATCAGCTTCCATCCCCAACGCCAAACTCAACACGGAAACCACCACTACACAAATTATGCAGCAGCCGAACTGTCTCATTTTTGTTCCCATGTGCTCCTCAACACTTTCTCTTTCGGAACGGGTGAACCAAGCACTGCAGCCTGGTCAAATTTTATAATGTGCTTTCACTGGGAACAAGCAGTGGAAAACAGGACACCAATTCACAATAATTTTTTGGCCTTGCTCCTTTAGCAAGTACTACATAAACGGCAACGTTTGTGGGTGAATAGTACACTGGCAGACGAACGAATTAAGCAAGGCACGATCATGACGACGCATGAGACATAGTTTCAAAAGCCGGTTTTGAAGAGAAATCGAAAGCATAACTCGTTTTTTAGAATAATGAAGGTTATGTTTGAGGTGGCGAAATTTGGGGCGTCGTTTTGAGTTGACCTTCCCCTAAAAATTTATTTTTCGTTGGTGAGGATGTTGAGGCATGCCTATGTCCGACTACATTTCAGTAGTATCGTCATTTTCCTTTCAAAATAATGCAACAACTCTGTAACAATGTTTGATTTAAAAAACTTATAATGTAGATTTAAGCTATGCATAACCTGACTTAATGTTAATGCTCAACTAATTTGTCAACATCATGTGCAAGAGAATTCTCTCGAATCGGAATGTACGTGTGTAATGTATGAAATACTTGAATAGAAAACCATTCTTGGGCCGTCTCTAGCATAAAATGGGCGCAGGGCAATCCCTTTTTAGCATTATATGCAATGCAGTTGCTCATTCGTGCCATATATTGTAATGCAAATATCAGTTTTGCAGCAGGGATTGCATTTTAAAACGTGTTTATTTCTGTTCATTTAAGGGTTCACATCAATGTATGTACATGTACATGAAATCTTAGTTAAATAAATATGTGATAACGATAACAATCCATATAAATAACGGCGATATAGAATTTCTACAGGTTGATTTGATACATACGTAAATGACTCAACGACAAGAATCGAAACAGTTGAATATTACATCAAAGGGCGAAAAATTCGTTTCTAGTCCTATTTCTATGTATATTTTATATATGTTTTTAGCCACTATATGCTTGTTGCCAGCTTTCTAAAAGTCGCCCAGACTTCTAATTCTAATACTACTTCAAAGTGTAAGTTAATACTCCTGAAAATCCTTAAAATATATGTATGTACATAATATCTACGTAGTAGACATAGCATATAAGTAGCTGTTCATATTGATTACATAATTTCGACGCGATTTTACATGATAATAATGTCTGTACGACCATTTACTTCCACACAACGACTTTTTACATTATAAAAGTACAATAATAAATTAAGATTGTTAGACGAATGTTGGATTCGTTATTCCGCATGTATTAAAGTTCAATGAAAAATAAGATTGTACTTTTTTAATAAATTTTTTCTCTGGTCCCTTTCAAATATAGTTTTTTGGATTTGGATATAGTGCACCGGAAATGAAAGAAATGAAAAGCATGAGTAATTCTTATGAATAATTTCGTCAAATTCGAATCAGCTCTCTCGCCAGTCCATATTATCAGCTTACAGTTCCCTGTACAGTACGGTCAAATAAGGCAGACATTACCCTCTCCAATCTGTAAATATCTACTTAATCAACAGTCACTACAAAATTATAGTTTCAAATTCGTCAGAATAGTGTTCCCTTAAAGTGAGGAATTATAGCGCATATTTACATAAATGTTGCAGACCGATTTTCAAAATACTGGAATGCATGTGCACCTGTTAGCGGGTACATACATTCATAAATTGGTTACAATTTGGACATTACACACATAGAATATTACCACTATTGCTATTACTAAACTGCTAATATTTCTGCTAATCATCTACATTTCTAAGCATTGAATGGTGTATAGAGCCGACCAAATTTATTGTCGGGGATACATCATATCATACACAGGTAGCATATTAAGTATGTATATTTAGTACCTTATATTACGATTGTACTCGCAATTACACCTAAAATTATGATGATGATATTCTATTATAACATTTGCAATCTTGTTGTTCTCAATGGGAATGCTTACTTGGTCATTTCCGAAGAAAATGTTCACCTTTTTTGCATCCTGCACGATACATAACCTTAATTTCATACATAATTCATTCATTTCCGAAGAGGATGCCACATGGCGACTGGCTTCCGGAGAGATGCCAACATGGTATTCCAATGGTTCAGAGCTGACCCTGAGGCGGACGAGCCCACGATGATGTGACCCATGGAATTCGCCCTGCCATCGGCTTCCCTCGTGTCTGCTACAGTGATTCGAAGTTGGATTGTCTAAACAGGTGGAGAACACACAAAGGAAAATGTATGCAAATTTGAAGAACTCATGAAAGAGAAGGAGCGAATCAATTGCTTCATTTCATTCACAAACGATTCTTTTTACAAAATACTTTCTTTCTTTGTGCCTTTCTTGGAATACAAATACTCGAATAGTTTTTTGAATAAAGTGAGCGATTTCATTTTTTTTGTACCTGCAATGCATGAGCAGGAACGCTGAAGATCATGGCTTCATTAAAAATTGGATTTTTTTCTCCTCGCTTTGTCGAACTTTTCTTTTTGCTGACTTTCTTCCCCTTCTGGAGCAGGTAGACCTTGAAATGATAATGACACGGAACATTTTTTCATTATCCAACATGATTTAGTTTTCGAGGTGTCTTTTTATAGACAAGGAGAAGGAGGCGGAGAGGGAAAAAAGTGATATGACAATGGACCTTTTGTCATCCTTGTTGTTAATGAAGCCAAATAATGTGTGTCTTTTTACCTTCACAAATGGGTCGCCTGTCTCCCTGTCATGGGGAAACTTCAAATTTCGGGCTTTCACTATCACCACCGTCAACCTTTCTGCAGTCGGCAAGTAGGCGAGAGAAAACATGATTTCGCCAGATTCTCCGCCCCGCTAAGAAATACACAAGAAACATATTTTTAAGATAAAAAATGGATGATTTATTATCCACAAAATTCCTCATCATAAAGTTTCAACAAGTCATTTTGTAAATAGCTCTAATATATCAGAAATTGATGGGGATCATAAATAAGCACACGTATAGTCATGCACATACGTAATCAGTCCCACATTTATGTATGCATCCAACCATAAACCGACCAGTTTAAGTATATCTGGTCGTCTTATCTGGAGGAATAAGCATCAAGTCTCAACATTGCATCATCATGTAATCCAAGTAGCTTGTGATCAAAATCTAAAATTGCGAAGGCAGCAAATCTCTCATGATTTATCATCCTTCAATTCGACTGGGAACAGGCATTGGAACCCATTCAGCATACATACGCAGCAGTCCTTGTTCCTTGTGCAATTCCAGTGAAATGAAATATAAATTGAAGAACTGATTGGAGTTTATGGTTGGACGCGGAATACATAAGTAATTGATTTGAATGTGTGGGTATGTTTCTCAGATTGGAATCGAGGGCTGGAGGTGGGGTGGGTTTGGTTACGTATTTCGACATCCACATTATTATCTGCACGGCCGAGTTGGCAGATCATCATATGCTAATAAATTAACGCTTTGATTGGATGCAACAGGATAGTTCGCTCGCCCACTCACTTATTTAGTCTCTGGAGAAATTAACCGAGTGCCATTCACGGGCACAGCGAAACGACAAGTGAGACGACGACGAATTCAATGAGATTGCGGTAATATATACGTTCTGCTTGGTGTAGCCGTGTTTACTTACCTGGCCAGTGTCGGTGAGTTGCAGCCATGTCGTAATCGGCTGATAAATATCCAAATCTCCCAGTTTGACTTCAGTCTCCCCCACCAAAGTGTTGGAGAATTTATCCGTGGCAAACAGGTAAAAAACTAGCGTTCGGAGGGGAAGCTCCATCGTCTCCACGCCAAACATGAACTTTTCTCGGTAAACGGGATTCAGAGATTTTCTGTAGACCTGTAGTAATACCATTATCGTCATTGTCATCGTCTTTGGCATATCAACATGACCACTTACGTACGTACGTACTTTTAGTACTGTTGGTTGGCCACTATTGTACTCAACCCTTTCTTTATCCGACTCAGACAACAATACTTTGGGCATATGTGGTTGTTTGCATGTGAAATGCAGTACGTGGCGAAATTGAGCAATTTGGTTAAAAGAAAAAGAAATTCCTCTGCACTAGATCATGTCAAACATGGTTTTAAGCTTTCTCAACCTCAATCTCTCGAAAGAATCTTTGCATATTGACTACTGACTTTAACAGCAGTTATGTGTGCAACCAAAAACGAGAAAAAATCTATTCTTTAGGGAAAATACGACTGCTTGAGAGTAATATTTCAAGTTGGAATAATTTTCGACATCCTGCATAAATACTTTTTTGACGATGTTGCATATAAATTCATGCTCGAACTGACTGTTGCTCTGTCCAATTTCACACCCATTTTGAGTTGGAAACATTGCGTATGTGGGATAGAGGAATGTATGTGATGTTATTTCTTAGTTATTTCTTACTGAGTCGGTAGGGTCAAGCAGTGCAGTCAACAAAGTGATATATGTACGAGTACGACTTTTATTGATCACACGATACGACGATATAATTGTTGGTAAAGTCTCTCCCTCATACTTACTCGAGTCTGCATGTTATGTGTTTTATCAGGTAAGAGGTAGACACGAACATAAGTATCAAAGGCCAGCGAATTGGGATCCGGTCCAACCAACTCCTTCGCCTCCATCACATTCACCAGCAAATCCGCCGTCTCACTGAAACAGAGAAACGCAATCATAAGTAATGCCCTTAGTGATTTACTCAAATAACGCAACTCTTCCGTGGGAATGTGGATATTATTGGACTTTCTCCTCTATTGCCCCTGGGGAACTGGTGTTTTTCTACCGGTCTTAATACGTTACTCGTGTGCTCTTCTGAGGAGAGAGCAACGGGTAACTTTCACTCACGGCATGCAATCTCCACATCTTGACTCGAGCCAATAAATAAACTCTGCTTAATCGCCCCTGCCACGTCGTGTAGTGCGAGAAGGCCAAAGTCCAAGAAAATCTTTTCTCACAACAAAAGTCCTAAAGACTCGCTGCTTATCGTCCAACACGCTTTCACTCTTTTCCCAGAAGAAACTAATGACGTAAATTGAGAGAACCTGTTACGCTCGGGATTCTTCCTGGCAAAAGTGGTACGCTATATTCGCATTTGTATGTATATCCGTTCATTCATTAGCTTCATCGCCTTGTTCGGAGCAAAATGAAGACTGTTAATTGTACGGCTTCCTTGATGTTTCGTAGCCGAGTTACCAAGTTGTCAAGGAGGACAGATGTCCAATTATTATCAGGTCTAATTGTTCTGGTGGAAAAGGGGAGCGAAATTTTTCTAGGATGAATTTTCTCTGCCATCTTGCTCAAACGAATTCACCGAAGAAACCTTTTGACTGTCAGAGTGTATGTATTTATATGAAAAAAAATGAACCGACGACGGATGGACGGACTGACGACTACTTATTATTAGGAATGCCTGACTGAACCCGTATTTGAATGATGAAGGAACATTACTATTCTTTCATTGAAGGAAAAAAAGATATGATTTGGCCAGTCGACCGTCATCATCATCCTGTTGAAAGGATTCTCTCGCAATCTTCCTTTTCACTCTCCAAGCAAAGGAGAGGAGAGAGAATTATTCGATGATTTGATTTACCATTCATCAAACTTACGTGAGAGATGTAGGGCTAAAATTATAATTTATGTCCTTCATCGATGCACAATTCTTCAAAAAGATCATTTCCTTGGCATTATACACGCTCGTTCATGTGTCATGTACCTAATAATCCATTGTCAAATGGGAGCATAAAGGTCGCTGTTATGCTAAATATACTACAATTATTGTGTGCATTATGTATGAATGGGCAACGTATGAAGGGGTCGAGTATTTACTTTTGTAGAACTTTGGTCCCTAAAGATTTCACCAAGTGCTTTTCTCAACCCGGTAGCAGGACTAAATATTTATGTAAAAATGAGCGTCCCAGGACTACGCGTCAGGCTTGAGCCACACCGGTGTCAATCGACCACAAATATTTTACTAAACTTTTTTCAACTTCAAACTTGCTGCAAGTAGTGGAAGACTTGAAGCCAAAGACACGATAGCCTGGGGACCCTCAAGAGTATGCAGAAGAAGAAGAAGAAGAATGAATCAGGGAGCGAAGAGTTAAGCCCTTCTGTTGCTTTGCTCCTGATCTGCCTGCACACGTGTTGTTTAAAAAAGCACAATGCATGAATAGAGCCAAATGTATTGTGTGCGCTTCTTTCACTTTCTTCTACTTTCTCCTCCATCACTTTCTCTCCTTTTCCGTCCGTAGTGAGTGAGTGGTGGTATGCGCTGGATTTTACAGTGCTTGCCCAAGCCAGAAGTAGTGGATGTGATGATGAATGGGGTTCACTCAGGAGTGAACATCATGGAATATGGAAAGAAAATAGGAGAGACTTGAATGAACGATAGTGTTATATATGCGTCTTTTGAGGTGGACTTTGTATAGTATTTGGTGGAATATGTAATTTGACCAGGGTGCATTTACGATATTTCGGTCAATAGATCTACACACCCACACACTTTTGAATTTTGTATGATTTTTAAATCCGTGCATGTAAAAAGAAGGAGAAAATATAAGATTTTCTCTTTCTTTCTCTCTCATAAAGTGCTGTCCATTCTTATTCTGTTTCTACACATCTTCTCTCGAAAAGTCGCATTGGACACAAGTCTGCCATGAAAAGAGAGGAAAAGCAGTTTAGTTTTTTGTGCGTCTGGTTTTACAGCAGCAGCAGTCCGGATGGAGCCGATATATGTATGCAGAGATATAAACTTGGCTTTCATCTCGTATTGCATTTCCTTCCCTCGTGCATGAGCTCCGACATCAGAGGAACAGCACGAGTGACTTGAACTATTGTATTATTCATGAATTTTGAAAGCACTCTTTTTGAATCGATTCAAATTTCAATAATGTGCCGCACTGCAAACCAGATAAACTTAAACGTCCGCAAAGGTTATCAATTCAACTTGAAAATGGCAGCAACACTCGAGTGTGATTCATTTGATGGATTGAGCTGTTGAGCTCGTCCGGTTACACGAACGTATGATGACGAATACAGCAAACAGCAGAGCCTATGACTCGTCCATGCATGCACCTCGGGAGGGCTTCGAAGTTATAAATTGTAGGAAAAAATAAAAACAAGAACTCTTTTTTGCGATCCGTTCTTTAAAAAGCGCGATCTGCATATTAAGAAAGTTCTTGCATTACAAACTACGCAGCTCACCCCCTCTTAATAAATTTCCCCTAAATCAGAAACAGGAACAAGACGAAGGCTTCTTCAAGAAGCGATTTCTTCCTACTTTTCTGGACGAATCTCTGTGAAAATATTTTACGAGCGTAGCAAAATCAGAGTCGTGTTGAGAAATGCACACCAGCCATGAACAGATGGAGAAAGTACGGCGAGAGTGAAATGGTAAACAATGAGTCAAGTCAATTTATCCAAGCTGTCCAACCCAGTTACTGGGTAAGCATATGCCAGCATAGATCTCGGCAGTATCACATCCACACCATCATATCCACACCATTAGAGCAAATGTTATTTATTTCTTGGTTCGTACTCGTACGTACGTAACTCGTAGTGAAAGTCAAGTCGGCGAGCTGGGCATTTGGAAATTGATGAAGAACCACTTGTAATATATAGTTCGAGATGATGGCGCCTCTTACTTTGCCAACATAAGTATATACATTTCTTCTTGCCGTACACATTTTATTTTTTTGTGCCTTCCTACATAATGAATTGGAGCGAGAAGGCAATAAAATCTAATCAAACAATATTTCACTCGTGGTGCTTGGTGGGACTTTCTCTCCGCTTGGGTTTTGATGGATGTATTCGTAAATGAGAGGGAAAAAGAGACAAACTTTGTGGTGGGAACGTATTAAGCAAACTAATTAACAATTTAGCATTGATGGTTGAATTACAAAGCTGTCAAGAACAATTTGTACTTATTTTTGGCATACTGTTGAGCTCTAGATTCAATTAATTTGGATTGAGGTCTCACACAGAAAGGAGCTCTTGGTCTCCTTTGCAAAAGAGGTTGCAACAATTCGAGTGGGATCTGCTGCTGATTTATTTTCTGAGTGGTTATATTCTTCCCGTAATAAGAATAATACCTACTGATTCCTTTGTCCTAGATGTGAAGATACATTAAGTGTGCATAACAAGGAGAAGACTTCCCTATCACTTAATATACGTATATTATGTGGATTAGTCACTGCCTTAAAGTACCTTTGATACCAAGTGAAGGAATTTTGGGAGAAGAAATGCAAAATTTCACAAGTCTGTACATATGTAAGTCTTGTGTGATACCGGATTTTGCATACGGTGTGTGCCCACGAGCTGAATATTCAAAGGATTTTGACGGCAAAGTTTTGAGAACGGTGAGAGTAATTGTTTTCTTCAAGGTTGTTGTTCATATTTTGGCGTTGGCGTTTGTTGGTTGGTGCCCACATTTTCCGTGAAATATTGAAGTTTCAGCTCAACGAAGCGATTCATTTCTCATGTGTTTCACTGAGCTCGAGAGATAAAAGGGTTGAAAATCAAATTACAACTCTACCAGCTTTGAACCCAGGGTAGTGATATGCGATACTTAGCTTTGCAGAAGCCAGTTCCCAAGAAGAACACGGCATCACCAACCACCATAATTTCCTACAAGGAAGGTTTCCTTCATTCTATTTTCTAATTTGCCGTCTTAACATTTCCCCGTAACCAACTTTTCTTCTTCGTATTCCTCCAGTGTGCCGTTATTCCCGTTGTATTTAGTCAGTCGTCGTCAGGAAGGTAGTGAAATCACATGTGCATGAATACCCAGTGTGTACACATGTAAGCATGTAATGTATACCTTCACCCCCGAAAGATCAAACGTAGGCGAAGTCTGAACAATTGGACATCATCATCATCGCTCAACTCATTATTATTCTAAATTAAGCTTCATGTGTCCGTCTATTATGAACAAGGGACGACTTTTTGGATGAAATATTCTAGAAATAATAAGCATGAGACCGTTTTGCTCACCAGTCATACTCGAGACCAACGCAGAGATAGCCGGTGGGATGAGGGGGGTCGAAATCGCTCATCGTCATTGATGTATCTGAAGATACCGAGTCACAGGACATGGCCCTCTGCAGAGATGGAAGGCTCCCGTCCGGGCTTCCCATCAGATCCTCGGACCCCACACTGTCCGTGGAGGACTGTTGCCTCAAGGAGAAGGATCGCGTGTTCCGAAACGGGGGACCGGACATCAGAGGAAGTTGTTGTCCACTGCCCGGACTGCTGTAGCTGTGAGCTCTCTCCCCCAAAATTGGTCTGTTAACAAGCGTCGCTGGTGGTATTGCTGATCCTCCACCACCGCCTCCATTACTGCCTCCACACGTTATTCCATTACTTGAAGAGAAGCCTCTTTCTCCACCGCCCTGTGGATTTCTGCTATGCATTTCCATCGACCCATCTGACACAACTCCGGTGGGATTGATTTCAGTGGGAATGAAGTTTGTTTTTCCTTCATGTGAACCCGGCAGGTCTTGTGCGGAAGATCCACTGGTAGAATTTGCATGGGAGATTTTCGTGTTATCTTTACTCTCCACTTCTCCTACTTTGCTGCTGCTAGAAGAACTTGACGTCTCAGTCTCAGCATTGTTTAACTTATCCAACTCGTGACTTTTGGTTGTGGTTTTGGAGGACTGGTAGTTGTAGCTGCTTTTGCCAGCGAGACCTGTGCCAGAAGAAGAAGTTTGACGACTTTCTCCTGTTTTTTCTCCAACCCCATTACTCCCTTTCCGTCTCTCGCCACATCCTAGAGTGGAAAAGTCCTCGTCCATCATCAAACTTTTAGTGGCGTCTTCCATCCGCTCGTTTTCTAGCCTGATCTCCTCCCTCATTGTCTCCAAAATCCATTTGTTGCATGTTATTTCATCGCACAGGTTGAGGACGGGAGCTCGGAAATTTTTTATGTGATACGGCTGCGGCTGCTGCTGCTGCTCCATCGTTTTCTTTTTGGTTGACTCTTCAAGGAAGGAGAACGTGTCTGCCCCATGTGGAGGAGGTGGTGGTGGTGATGGTTCGTTAAGCAGAGCCAACTCATCAGCCTCTCTGAGTGGGGGGACGGGAGAGCGGTGGTGGGGGGATCGGTACCGGTCACTCCCGTTGGGGTCCAATATCTTGGGAATGTATGGTTTCGACACGGGGTAATGTGAGTCGAGGTTGTGGTGCAGCTTCTTGCTTGGATTCATCCTGTCCTCCGCATTGTTCTGAATATGCTGAAGCGTAAGTTCCATTTTTCTCTGTCGGTCTCGAATTCGTGTCGGGCTGGTTCCAGTGCTGTGATGCAGCGATGTGATCTCAGGTTTGCAGTTGGCCACGGTCGGTTCCAAAACATTAGCGGAATTACTGGTAATAGTTGTTGTGTTGTTGTTGCTGGTGGATATCTTTGTACTCGAGGAGGTGACAGGAACAGCATGACTGTTGCTGCCTCTTCTCAATTCCAAACCTGCACCAGGAGTATTGGAGAAAGTAGTGGTGGTGTTGTTGTGGCTTTGATATGAGGAGGTCGTTTTCTGCTGCTCTTCCTCATTCAACTCTCTGGACACGGACCTCCTCCTGTCGTTGTCACTCTCCACGGAATCAACATTAACGGGGAAAGTGTGTCCGCTGTCTTTCCTCCGTCCGAACGAGTTATCAACCCTGTCAATTATTTTCTCCTCAATTCCTCCACCACCAGCAGAAACGGTGGCTGCTTTCATGAGCTGCGACGACCGTCGTGATGCTGGTTCAATTTCTTCCTGCTGTGGTGGGGCGCCGTCATTCAGTGGAAGTGAATGAGCTGGTGGTGATGAGAACAAAATTTCTCCCATGCTCAACCCCTTCCGAGCAGTGTTGGCTGGTGCTGGGACTGGCGGGGTTCGAAAAGAGGAAGAAACTGTTGATTCAACGCTGTCCACGCTGTGTGACGTAGAGTGCAAACGGCCGTTATCACCAAATTGGCGTTGAATCCCACCATTCCCCATTCTGCTGCTGCTTCCAGTGCCATTGTTACCACCAGAATTTTGGAAAGGTTGTTGCTGCTGGAAGGAATGCAACTTTTGCGCCAAGAATTGAGTAGATGCTTGGATGAGGGGGAGGAACGGGTTGTTGTTGGAAAAGGAGGAGGAACTGGAGGATGGTTGACTGCTACCCCCACCACCTCCACCACCACCGGCGTGTGGGGTGGAGGAGGCAGAAGATCCGTTTCCGTAGATCGGAATGGTGATGGCCGAATGGGGCGAATTGGGGGCAGTGGTGAATACTGAGTCGTCGAAGGAAATTTGGCCTGGTCCACCCACAAACGGCGGAGTGGGAGCAGGTCGAAGAGGTTGAGGTGGAATACTACCGCTTCCACTACCTCCTGCTGCTCGAGTGAGGGAAGAACTGCTCGCTTGACGAAGAAGGGTATAGTCGTAGTCGGTCTTGTCAAAGTGACGAAAACTTCCTCTCCCGGAGAGGGCAAACTCGGAGGAGTCTGACGACGGAATCTACAATTTGAAATTAACAATATTTTCAATTTAAACCTCAATTGGGGCATGTTTTTCAAGCAGAAATGTTATTTTATCTCAAATTACAGCTTAAAAATAGAGTTTGAACTACGCACCAAGTCGAAAAAATGCTCACTCTACGTAATGATAATGATTACCACTAGCTACATAATACATTCGTACTACATATTCAGGTAAGTGTATAACGCTGCGTTTTCCTTGTGGGGTGTCTTAATAAGAAAATGGCGCAACCAACAGCATTACTTTCGCTCGTGTACGTGCATGCAGCATTACTTAATGATAATCCGTATAAATAATTTGAAACAGTTATACATACGAACGAACGACTACTACTTCAACGACAACGAGGTCAATCAATTGAGAATTATTACACCATGCGCAGTGCAGTGCATGCCATGCATTCCATGCAAAGGGAGAGGTGACATTAGCAAAGTGCGAATTCATAGCCATAAAATTGCATTCCACTCAATTCCGAACCAACAAACCACAGCATTTCATTCTCTCTCTTGGAAGCACAAGTTTGCATGACATGCTCCTATTACCTCCGCCAAGCTTTCGGAATGAATGATCATTTCTTTATGTAATTCGAGTTTCAGGCAGGCCCTCGCATTATAATATGGTCCGTGTTTAAGTGCACATATTAGTTTTCCCTTGTTCTAACACTCCCTGGTATGCGAGTAGTATCGCATATATGTACATTGTGACAGTATGTTTATGGCTGCCTGATCATCCATAATAATTATAGTAACCATGTCGTACACCCAGTGTTGTTTTTGCAAAATTCCCTTTGACATTTTCCAGTATGTGGCAATATCAAGATAGGCCGGACAATGAATTTTGGAGCACCTCACCTCATCGACCCTCCACCGAGACCTCATCACATAATAGTCTCACTCACTCTTTGAACTGCTCGCAACAAGAAGTTCAAGACAACGAAATAAACTAATGAGAACTGGTCCCGTGAGGTGGGCCGGAGAGAAAATTAGAAAGTCCGACCTATCCATTTCATTGAGTGAGCAACTTCATTACAGGGCCGGGAGCGTGTCTTGACGTGGTTAAAATATTCATGGCAGACATCATCTCACTCACACACAATTCACCCATTCAACCCGAGGGACGTCCAACCAAGGCTCCTGAAGCAAATTACATTATGCATTGGAACTCATTTATATGAAACTGGACGCATTTTTTGTTTTGTTATCCTATTCAAGACGATATCTTATTGTCTCTCGTAATAAATATCTGAAACATAAAAGCATAAGAAAAATCAGCACTGAATGAATGACGACCTCACGTTTTGTTGAGTAGAATGAAGCAACACATGAATGAATGAATGAATGAATGAATGAATGAGTTATGCCTCGATGGGAAAGTAATGGCAGTGAAAGTATGGCTAGGGAAAGCAACGCCCATAGTTTGCATAACATATGAACAACAAAAAGTAGCTTTGATGACGTGATTAATTGCTGCATTTTTCATCTCTTTTCATCACTCATTGGGGGAAACAGGTAAAATATGTATGTATATTTCCTACCAGTCGTTCTTCCGATGTGATCGTTAAAAAATGTGCGTCGTGAGACTAATCTTTACCATCTGCATAGTTTAATCAAGCAAAATATAATGTTATCTTGTTTTAACATGACAATAAACCATGGCGAAAGTAAAAATGTTATGCTAATGCTCCAACCCAAGTGGTTAGTTTTACACATCAAATGCTATGTACAAACAAGTGAAGGGTTTGAAGTAGTCTAACCATGCATCCATTGTAGGTGCCGGGTTTAGTTAGGACCATCTTTTCCTCCTTGGTTGATCCAAACAAATAATTGGTAGTCCATCCAGGAAAACGGTAACAGAAGAGGACGAAAAGTAAGCCGATGATCCCGAACACCCCACAAAGTGTCACCACTGACTGGATTATTCCCATTCTGAGGAATGAATCATCCATAAACACACGTCATTCACCTCGCCACTCATTCACGACACAGCAAATTAATGAATTATCCAGTAATGTTCTCTCCCTTATAAATAAATGCATCTCGTGCAGAGGTAATTTGCATTTGCATACATAATCCCACCATTAACACACATATCATTAACAGGTAAGTAACACACGAATCTCGTATCATTGACAAGGCACAAGGACACTTAAACTCACATTTTCCACACAACCAACACCACCATTCATTTCATGAGCATTTCACCACATAAAACTGCACCCAACCACCATTTTTGCACACATAAATAAATTTATTTTACATATGCATACACACACATACATCCAACTCCATCCAACACAGACATAACACCAGCAGACACATAGCTAATTCAAGAGAAAGTCGTCTTGAACTTTGGGATCAATACTGAAATAAAGATCACCTTATCCCAAGATCACAACGTAAAGTTATGCGATTCTAACCCGCTGTCTGGAAGACAATATAACTGACAGAGCCATCAATTCATGCATATTTCATATCGAATCGTGTCACATATTCGTCCTTCCCACCCATCCACATCATTTGCATCCATTTAGAAATTCACAATCCTCGCGAGAATATTTTGATAAATTACAGCACTTTTTTTTATTTTACTCAGTGTTTGAATTTTTATATCTACGTGGTGCACCCACAGAAAGTAAAAGCTTGATCGTGATCCATCCATACTCAAGAGGGGAAGGATTATTGGAAGTTGTTGGAAGTGGGATTCATGACCACAATTTTATCTTCCTTTTCAGGCCAGAGCTCAGCATAAATAATGGGAAAAGATGGTGAGAGGAATGTCAATTCCATCCATCCTGCCACCACCCAAGCCGTACCGGAGTAGCCAGTGTCAGTTCAATCCAAATTAAACTTTTCATGTCAAAGAAGTCACTTGACTCCTCTGCCGAGGTTTTAGCTCGCTTGATGAACGTACGAACGATAAGAGAATGATGCCCTGACAGAGAATGCTCGGCGGGAGGGCGCCATATATTATGTCGAATTGTATGAGAAGTACGATGTGCGGTGAAAGATATGCAAGTGCTGAGCACCACAGTTTTCATTCATACTCGACAATTTGCTGCCTATCTCTGGGAAAGATTTGTTGGAAGAAAATTCACCAAGAAGAAGACGAAACTTTTACTCTTTGTGAATGGTTGTCATCCAGTGATTTGAGCATGTTAAATTTTAACGTCTGCTTGACCTTGGTTAAAGAAGCCTCGAAATATTAGTTAATTTACAGCCGACGTAACGCTATCGCCCACACATCACTTCAACTCTCTCGTCCCTGAAGAAATATGAATTATGACGCGGAAAAAAACGAGAGGAATGTTTGACATATATAATTATAATCTCCTCTCGTCTTCCCATTCACGAAGCAAAATTAGATTTTGTACTCTTAATGAAAAACATGGAGAAGATGATGAGATTTGAAATCCAACCTTGAAAATCCTATGTTTCATGTGCAAGTAATCTGGCCCTGGTGTTACGTATCTAAGGATAAGTCGGTGTACATAATGTAGAATTATGTGATGCACATATATCCAATTTTTTTCTTTGTAAGTTTGTACTAGTCAGAAAATATTTCTCTAGCGGGAGGTAACTAATTATTGTGCAAAATGAGCTTACTGCTGCTTCAGGAGACGTTCTTAAAATACGAGTAAACCACTTATTCACATTTTTCACTCAACACACCGCAATTCGTGGGGTTTAAGAACCCAAAGCCACAATTAATATCAGTTACGCCATGTTTTCGAACGGTGCATGGTGAAAGTTTCTAAATTATTCTGCCTTTCGCAACATCTGCGAGTCATTTTTATGGCTTGCATTAACATCAACACGAGAAACACTAACATTAGCGTTGTAGTTAAGGAATCAGTTGTGAAAACGGAGACAATTGGAGTGAATAACTGCTCGTTTCATTTGCTTTTTGCATTTTTTCTTTCCCCGAAATGCTACAGGAAACATGAGAACACTTCAATTTGCAAAGTGCTCTGCAGACACCATCCAACTAATGAAATTGCTGATAAAGAATCTAATTTATGAAAAATGGGTTGCTGCCTTCACACTGGAAATGGGGTAGAAGATGGCCTTGTAGTAAAAGGATCTTGTTTTCACTCACATTCCTACAACGGCATACCATTAGTTTCTCCTGACTTCCACGCATAGCTCAATGGTGAAAATGGCCGTCATTGCCTGCGGTTTGTGGGATTTTATTTAGTTCGTTAACACGTGAATTTATATTCCATTTCTTTCATTAACTTATGTATGTCAATTCCTAATTAATAGTGAATCAATAATAGTTCAATTCTGAAAAATTGAATTGGCAATATCAAGGTTTCTGTCGATATCAATAAGGATCTCTTTTGATTACGGGGTTTTCTTGCGGATTAGGATATCGTTTTCGAACTTAATTTCCTCCTACGCAGTCGATAGTTAATAATTAATGATCCTGGTCACGGCTGATGATCATGGGTAAGGAGGGATCAAGGACTAACTAGTGATGACCAACGAAAAAATCGGATTCAATTCTGTTTTGCTGCTTCAGTTTTATACTTCTTTGGACCTCGGACTTTCTCTTTTTTATCTTCCCCCTAAAAATGCTGAACTTTGCGTAAGAAAAAACAGAATAATGCAGGACTCGGCAGAATACATCCTGTAACAATTTCCCTATGAATTTTGAACTCTTCAATATAAAGAATCGCACGAAATTCAATTTTTTCTTGCTGATTAGCTCTTCACCATGAGCACAATATCACACACTTCGTAACACTGAAGCGCATGTACGTACCTACATATGTGCACACCCTTTGAATTCATCCTGTTTGTCTGCGGTGCGAAATTTCCCTCAGGTGACGAATTTAATCTGTGGCATTTCGATTTAAGCCACGTCAAAAGGCTATCAAAACCACGGATCCCTGGTTTAAGAGACGAAACCAAGGACTATATTTGCAAATACTGAACGATACGCGAGTTGAGACCTGGAGATCGGTTGTGGTAGACAGC